CTATTTTTTATACGTGAACCGGTTTGATGTTAGATGATAATAGAAATGTGTTGATTGCCGGTGATTTCAATGCTAATATCGGTTTGGAGAAAGTAATTTGTAAGGAATTTTGTAATTTTTTCGGTATTGTTTCTCCTAAGCAGAATAATTCGAAAGACATAGTGATTGTAGTAGGAAGCTGCTTCACTTATGTGATAATCTAAATATAATTATTGTTAATGGAAAATGTTTAAATGATAAAGCGGGTGATTATTCTTTTATCTCTAATCGTGCTTATCCTGTTATTGATTTGGTCATACCCATTCTTTTTCCATAGTAACCACCGAAAGACCGGGCATCGGCATATTACGTATTTCATTTCTTAAAAATAATGGCAATTGGGACACGGATCCTTTGCTAGCTGTCGACGGTCCTGTCTGTATATAATATTACAGGAAACTAAGAGTTTTCTTACGTACAATGTTTTAGACTGATGAAACATTTTTTAAAAATTTTTATTCACAATTATAACTTTATTAATAAGTGTAAAAATACAAAAATTGTAGAATTTAACATAAAGCAATTGTTATAAGATACAATAATTTATAAATAGTTAACATATACCAAAGCTTTCTTGCATTTAAATTAGCTGAAGTTCACGGAAATTAATACTTTATAGGAAAAAATTCAATTTTGAGTATAGGATACTCAAAATTGAATTTTTTATTCTTAAGTTGTGAGTGTATTTCTATACATTGAATAAGTATTCTACTGAATACCTGCCATTTCCTAACAAGCAACTAAGATACCGAATATTTTTGAGCGTACAAGATATCTACATCACTAATTTATATATAAATGTAATTTGGAGAAAGATTGCTGACTTTTATGACTTCTCGCAATAAATTTACACATAAACTATAGTTTTATAATAGAAATCAATTAATTAATAACATTCTATTGACCGAAAGGTCATTTATATAATGCAACTTGCATTTCTCATTACGTTTACTACACTGCAGACAAATGCATTTAAAGGATCATTTAGTATAATTATTTTCCAAAGTATGCAGTTATAAATTGGGAAATAACTTTATATAAGGCCGCAAACTTTCAAACAGATCTTTGTTTAAAAGTAAAAAATTATGTTTGGTGTCATCTTCTGTAGTAAATTTCAACCTAACCAACTCGTAAGATAATTGATGTAAATCATCAAACAATATTTGTGCAGGATTTTCGACACAACTGAAAGCTTTAAGGAAATATGCAGGGAATGTAATCAGTCGACTTACCTCTTCAATCTGACATCTAATAAGAAAAGGAACCTGAAATATTCCACATAAATATATTTTAAATTTGTTCCACGTGAATTTAAACAATATATCTCGAATGTTCTCCATCTTTTTCCAATCATTTCTCAATGCTCTTATATCTTTCGGTCGAAGAAACTCTTTCCATATATTCATAAATATAAATATTTCCACATGACAGGAAAACCAAATTCTGTCGTGAAGTTTATTCAGCTTTTCAAACGTAACATTTGTAGACTCGTAAATGTCAACAATAAAGTATATTTGTGAAAAGTTTGGGGGAATACCCCAAACAGAATAGTCCATACGTGAATTGTAACAGTTTTCGCACTTTTTGACCGTGTTCGAAAATATTTTCTTGTCTTCTTCATTGATGATTTCGTTGTATATTATTATCGAAATGTCCAACGAAAGCACAACTTTTTCTAAATTCTTGAAGCAAGTTTTTGGAATTTTTTCTTTTCTAAATAAACCAAAATAAAACGTAATAAAATTATGATGACTTGTAAACTCTTTATCACGTGGTATAGTAGAACACCTAGTAACATTCAGGAAAGGCACTTCAGGGTTCTTATACAAATACAGGGCGACGAGAAATTCTTTGATGGACTCGTGCACGCTATCAAAGTAAGGATTATTGTCAATGTCAAAGCAGTGAGAAAGAAAATCCAAACCATTACAAAATGTTTTATTACGGTCACCGACATATTTATTTAATTCGTCGATTGTAATTTTTTGTTTTTTATCGAAGGGATAGAATAACACTTGTTTATTAGTATTTTTCTCGTAAATTAACTTTCCTAATCTAACTAAAATGTCTTCCAAAGCGAAATACTTTCCTATCGGCACATTGAAATTTCTCTCGAGTTTTCTCTTTGACCTATATGTAATTAATTGCATTATATAAATATACATATCGCTCTTGTATCTTCGTATATGTTCTAATGTACTATTGCTATGTAAACAACAAAGCATATGCAAGAATAACGGATTTTTAGACAAAGAAATATAAAATTCGTTTCCTAATAATATAAGAAGTGTTTGTGTTTTATAAACATTTTGTTTGAACACCAACTTTATGTATTTTTTCTGCTGTTCGGGTGAAAATTTTTGAAGATGAAATCGAAAATTCATGTATTCTCTTACTTTTTCTGCTGTGTGAGGACGACCCGTCACAATAATGGTCAACTTTCGAAAAATACCAAAGGAACCCTTTCTTAAGAAATGTTTGGTTCTATCAAAACTATTAATACCATCGTATTCATCTAAAATAATTAAGACATTTGAATTTTCCCTCCGTAATTTTTTTTTTCATTTCTGGTTGTGAAGTTTCAAAAATATCTTCTAGAACAGCATCTTCCAATTTCTTATCACTTTCAAGTTCTGTTAATGTTAACAATGCAACAATGTCGAAATGACTTAAGTAATTGTTTGAGGGATCATCGACAGCCCAATCGTAGGCAATCTTCTTGCACAATGTAGTTTTGCCATAACCAGGATCTCCACATACAAGAATGCTTCTCCACTTCTGTAAATATATCCTTGATATCAAGAATGTCACCAATTGGACTAACACTAAAATTATGTGTTTCCTGCAGTTTTAAATTAACGTAATAATCCTTAAGAGGAAAATCTCTACTCTTATTCTCCCATAAGAAAGACCTCATATAACTGTATTCTGTTTGGTAAAGTTTCTTCAGTCGTTTTTTATTATTTACAAATGTTTCTGAAAAAAATCTCGATTGTTAGATTAAAATACATGTTTAAATGATTGTACATGTTACTATAAAATGTAGGAAAATAAATGACATATACTGTATACAGTAAAACCTGTAAATTTCGAATAAGAAATAAAAAAAAAAAAATGGCCAGTTTGAGTTATGAATAAATTACATATATTTCAGCAGTTAGGTTAGGACTCCACTACCGTAAAAACGGTGTAAAAACCCCTTGCCGTAAAAGCTTTTAATTACGTGACCCTGATATCTTAAGCTTGAGCAGGCCGTAAAACCAGCGTAAAAGCGAGTTGAGCTATGTTCAACTTTCGACGCGAATACGGCCGTAAAGAGGTACCTTCCACCAATCAGAAGTCAGTGAAATCTAGGTCATCGCGACACGCAGCTAAAATGGCGGAAAACGAGCTTTTGTGTACGTTTCCTCGTGGGTACTCTAGAATAGATCCGGAAAGATTTATCGAAAACATCCGAAAGTATTCGTGTATCTACGACAAGAGGTAACCTGATTATAATAATGGATACCAAAGGAAATCCTTCAATTTAGAGGAGTATATAATNGAAAATAGTATAAACTACAGAAAGGAGACTCGATAAATTCTATAAAATGATAATTATAAAGAATTCAATTAATTTATATGCTTTCGTGTCTTATTATACTATTTATTATATAAATGTCTACTAGGACATATCTTATTAGTAAGACTTATTGTATCGTTCTCATGGTTCTGTGAATTTATTAAACTTACATATATATAATCTGTCTCTAGCAAATATATTGATTACACCGTGACCGATTTTATACATTTTCCACGTGTCTATTATGCTTTATAAGAGTTTTTTAATAAGACCCTTCTTCAATAATATCACTATTAATCGTAGCATTATCTGTAATGGAGCATTCAATGATTATGCCAAGAGATAAACATGGCTACCGAAAAGTTAATTTAACTTAAAATAAACAATTATATTTGTTATAATGGTAATTATGTTTCAAATATACAGTACACATTAAATGGCCGTATTTGTAATTTCACCAACCGGAAAGATAAAACGAACTAAACGGTAAAAAGCAAACTTCTAATATTACTGCAGCCGTAACGANGTGTGCCCTATTATACAATTTATTATATAATTGTCTACTAGGACATATCTTATAAGTAGAACTTATTGTATCGATCTCATGGTTCTGTGAATTTATTAAACTTATATATTGCAGCGGCTTGCTCTTCCCACCGTGTCATTCATGGGGTAGAGGTTATCGGCTTTGCCTATCGAGCGAATGTCGCCGGTTCAACCCTCATTGATGCAAGTTTTTTCTGTGGGTACGTTCTCCAGGTCTGAGAGCTTATGTAAATACCCACCAATTACCATGTCTCTGTAGGATATAACAGCCAGCTCTCAGGCTGAGAGAGGTTCTTGTTTTCCTACTGCAAGCTGCAGGAGTTGTACATTGCATGAGTTAATAAATACCTTTGTGTTCCTAACGACTAATTGCCGTTTGTTCCCGCGACAATATATATAATCTATCTCTAGCAAATATATTGACTACACCGTGGCCGAATTTATACATCTTTCACGTGTCTATTATGCTTTATAAGAGTTTTTTAATAAGACCCTTCTTCAATAATATCACTATTAATCGTAGCATTATCAGTAATAAAGCATTAAACGATTATGCCAAGAGATAAATTAACTTTCCGGTAGTCATGTTTAACTTAAAACAAATAATTATATTTGTTATAACAGTAATTATGTTTCAAATATGCTTATTAAATGGCCTTATTTATAATTTCATTAACCGGAAAGATAGAACGAACTGAACGGTAAGAAGCAAACTTCTAGTATTGCTGCAGCCATAACGAAATTACACAAAAAATGGAGTATGAAGATGATAAAAAATATAATCTGGAACAGATAATTACACCTATTTAGTCTAATTTCTTACCTAAAAGTAAATGAAGAAAAAATTAATTACCTGATTACGCCATCCCACGTATTTTTTTCAACTGTTAGTGGCCACACAACTATTGTGTCATAATCAGGAAAAATAGTTCTTTAAAATATCTAAATTTAATTATATTTTCTTCGTATAAAACAATATTTTTATGTAATTCGTAATTCTGTGATACAGTAAACGATACCTCACAGTATTTACATACAACCACCGTAACGAGTGTAATAATTACACGTGTTTTTTTTTTTCTAAAATAACTCACTGGCCTATGGATTTTGCTACCTTTACTGAATTTACAATCAAAAAAAATCACTCACTTTGAGACATTTTTACATTTTTGGACTGGGGAGATCTTGAAACGTCGAGAAATTAAAAATAAGTAAATAAAACATGGGGGTGTTTTTGTTTTGAATATGAATAACGTCATCAGATAAAATAACAGATAATATAGTTTTGTTTGCGAACGTTAAAAAAAGCTGTTTATCTGCTTATCACACGACTGTTGTATTGTTTGCACCATTTTTATCGAGTTCGTCTGATAGTCTCCCCGAATAATTTGTGCTTGATTAACAATATTGCTTTTAACTGCTTAATTGCATATAATTAAATACATTTAATTATCTATTTTTGCGTTTTCTGTACACTGTAGTCCGAAATATTTGTAATTGTAGCGTAATTTTGTAAGTTAAAAGTAAAAGAAGTGCAGATTGAATACTGTATATAAACGATGGTAATGCAGTTAGGGTTTTCACTTTTTTTATATAATATGTACTATAATTGGGTGTTGAATTCACCTCTTTAAAAACAGAGTCAGCTATGTCATCAATGAAAGACGGCACTGTTTTATTTTTATGCGAAAAATTCGCTGAAATTTGAAGACATCATTAATAGAAATAATTTTTATGACCGTTGAAGAAGAAATGTTTCTTTTACAAGAAATGTATAAAATTACAGTACTGTATTAGACTTACAGTACTTAATTTATATACTGTACACACGATAGTAAACTCAACTTATCCGCTTAAACTCTCCGTAGCGTGTAAGTAGTTCGGCTGCTCGTCCACTATTGGTCCAGATTCGACCAATCCTGTCGCGACACAAGTCGGCGATGACGTTTTACTGCAGTTTACGAGTCTCTTTTAGCGTCTTTAAACGAATACGGCCGCGATATACGAATCCGCATTATATTAACCCGCGTTATAGGAATCTACTGTAATAATAATTAGTAATAAACAGCGTAACTTCTAGTTTTTAATAAATTAGTAGATAGAAACATATTTCTAGTTAAAAGATACAGAAATTGAAAACAAAATTAAGTAAAAATTGTTATATATACTAGTCCTTTTGTTTCTTTTTCTATAAAATGTTAATTTAAATTTTTAACCATTAAATTAGTCTATTAATTGTTAATATGTTAATTTCTTTAACTATAAATATTAAATTTATTAATAAGACTATTTTTAATGCTTTATAATTTTTCTTGCAGTAATTTTATTTTTAATTGTTGTTTTCAGTTATTCTTCTTGCAGGACTTCAATCCCACAGTCATGCTCTCACTTTCTTTTTAAATCGTCTTCATTCCTTGTTGGATCATCAGAAAATTCTGATGAATCCACTAGACATAAATCCTGTATGAGTATTTGATAATGTGCGTGATATATAAATGAATATTATTTTAAAAGTAATATAGCTGTAAAAATTAATTTTTGTTTGGCTAATTAGTAGTTCATTTATTAACTGCTTTATTACTGTTTAGTTTTGATCGAGTGTAATTAGATATAAACAAATTTACCTTCCAAAAGGAACATTAAAATCATCATCGCTGTCGACAGGATTTGAGAGGGGCTTGATTTACTCGGTTAAGGACATTAAGGAGAAAATTTAAGGGGATTAAGAGGATTAAGGAGACAATTTGTTGGGTAATTGGTGGTATAAGACACTCGGGATCGGCACATATTTATCCCCCAGTACTCTTACGCGCTCGCAAATTTGACAGCCACATCTTTTCTTGCTTTTTGTTTCAAATTTTTCCACAATACTTTCAAATGTTTTGTGTCCCGTTTACTAACCTCCGGAAATTTAGTAAACTCTTCGGTTAGAATTTGTCATGATTCGTTTTTTTTCTTTAAGGATATGGCATTCGATTTCTTTGATTCGATTATATCTTTGTATTTTTCGAATAACTCCATTAAATACTCTGTTTCTCGATAAGAAAAATCGGGTTGTCGACTTCGTTTCTTGTTGTCTGCCATGTTTGTATCTAAGCGCGTATTACGTCTTTCCGAAATATCCAATCGAGTAACGTGTAAGAAAATTATCTAGTAACGCTGGTGTCGAGATTATCGCATTCATTAATCCTGTTATTAATATCTCGGGAATTACTAAACCTTCGCTAAAATTTGTTGGTGAATCATCCCGTAAAAATTGAATGAGAGAAAAGTGAGCATCTGTTGTTATATTTTTGTTTAAAATTCTTTTATTAATAATTTTTATAAAATAAAAAAAAATGCTCAATTTTATGGGAATTTACAATTTATAAAATTTGTAAATATTACTAATGAGTAAAACGGGGAAACTAAGCATGAAACTGCAATGCTTGAACTGGCAGCTTTAAATGACCGAACAGCCCATCAAATCAGACAAACGGAAATCTTTTTCCGGTAATTATCCAAGTTGACATCGCTTGTCACCTGGACAGAATGTTTGTGTGGGCGAGTAATCACTATTGTTCACTTAGATTGCGGGTGTAAAGTTATTCACATTTTGCGTCGTTATTTTACCGTAGTAACCATTGAAAGAGTCGACATAAACATTTTACGTATTTCATTTGTTAAAAATAAATGGCACAAGGGGCACGCGTTATCCTAGGACTTCTATGTAAGCTATCGACGGTCCTGCTTGTATATAAAGATACACAAGACTCAGTTTTCTTATAAAAAGTTTTAGACTAATGCAACATTTTCTAAAATTTTATTCACAATTAATATAACTTTATTAATAAACCTGAGTATAATTCGATTTACATTCTACTCAATAGTTGCTATCGCCTACCAAGTAACTAACACCGAATAATGTTGAAAGTAAAAGTATTTAAATCACTAATCTATTCTTAAATATAATTTAATGAAAGCTTACTGATTTTTATGTTGTTACACAATAGAATTTCACATCAAATATATTTTTAAAATGAATAGCAATTTTTAATTTTTTATCGACAAAAAAAGTCAATTTATGGTGCAGTTTGAATTTCTCATTCAACAGTGTACTGTTTACTACACCTACAAATGCATTGCAAGGATGATTTAGTGTCATTATTTAGCAATAGATGCAGTTATAAACTGGGATATAACTTTATATAATCTTGCATACTTTCAAACAGATCCTTCTTTAAAAGTAAACAATTATCTTCGGTGTTATCTTTAGTAAATTTCAATCTAACCAACTCATAAGATAACTGATTTACACCATAAACCAATATTTCTGCAGGATTTTCGACACAACTGAAATGTTTAAGTAAATATGCAGGGAATGCATTCAGTCGACTTCCCTCTTCAATCTGATCAATCACAAAAGGATCCTGAACAATTCCACGAAAATAGATTTTAAATTTGTTCCACGTGTTTTTAATCACTATATCTCGAATGTTCTCCATCTTTTTCCAGTTATTTTCCATTGTTCTGGTATCATTCGGTCGAAGAAACTCTTTCCCTATTTTCATAAATATTAATATTTCCACTTTAGTGTAATGCGAAACTTTATCGTGAAGTTTATTCAGACTTTCAAACATATCTTCGTTAGTGTTGGGAGGATCGCAAATGTCAACAATGAAGTATATTTGAAAAAATCCTATAGGAATCATCCAATCAGTATTGTTAATACGTAAATTGTTAGAGTATACGTACTTTTTAATTGTGCTCGAAAATAATGTCTTGTCTTCTTCATTGACGATTTCGTTGTATATTATTATCGAAAGATCCAACGAAAACACAACTTTTTTTAAATTATTAAAGCAAGTTTCTGGAATTTTATCGTTTCGAAATAAACCGAAGTAAAATATAAGAAAATTGTGATCAGTTGTAAACTCTGTAACAAATGGTACTGTAGAATCGCTAGTGACATTCAGGAAAGGCAATTCAGGGTTCTCATACAAATACAGGGCGACGAGAAATTCTTTGATGGTCTCGTGTACGAAATCAAAGTAAGGATTATCGTCAATGTCAAAGCAGTAAGTAAGAAAATCCAAATCACAATCAATAATGTTATTTCGATTTAATTCGTCGAATGTAAGTTTTTGTTCCTTATCGAAGGGATAGAATCGTACTTTTTTAACAGAATTTTTCTCGTAAATTAATTTTCCTAATGTAACTAAAACTCCTTCGAATGAAAAATACTTTTCTATTGGCACTTGGAAATTTTTCTCAAGTTTTCTCTTTGATCTGTTTGTAATCAATTGCATTATATAAATATACAAATCTGTCTTTCTGTGTATATTTTCTAATTGATTAATCCTGTGCATACAACAAAGCATATGCAAGAATAACGGACGTTTAGACAAAAAGAAATAAAATTCGTTTTCTAATATTTTAAGGAATCTTTGTGTTTTATCAACGTCTTGTTTGAATACCAACTTCGCGTATTCTTCTTGCTGTTCGGGTGAAAATCCTTTAAGATGAAATCGAAAATTCACGGATTCTCTTATTTCTTCTGCACAACGAGGATGACTCGTCACAATAATGGTCAATTTTCGAAAAATACCAAAGAAATTATTTAAGAAATTTTCGCATCCATTTGTATGAAGATAGACGTAATCTTCACATAATTCATCTAAAATAATTAATATATTTAAATTTGCCTTTAGTATTTTCTTCGTTATTTCTGGTTGATATGAAGTTCCCCAAAATACTTCTAGAATTGCATTCTCCACACTCTTATACTGAAGTTCTCTTAATGTTAAGAATGCAACAAAGTCAAAATGACTTAAGTAATTGTTTGAGGGATTATCGACGGCCCAATCGTACGCAATCTTCTTGCACAATGTAGTTTTTCCAGAACCAGGATTCCCACATACAAGAATGATCGTTTGTCCATCATTTACCTCTTTAAATATATCCTTGATATCGAGAATTTCACCAATTGAACTACCAAAATTATCCGTTTCTTGTAGTTTTAAATTAACGTAATAATCGTTTAAAGGAAAATCTCTTCTTTTATTTTTCCATAAGAAAGACCTCATATAACTGTTTTGTCTTGAGTAAAATTTCTTCAGTCGCTCTTTATTTTTTTGAAATATTTCTGAAAAAAATTCTCGATTATTAAATAAAAAATACTTGTTTAAATGATTTTATATGTTACTATAAAATGTAGCAAAATAAATAAATATATATATATATAGTAAAACCTGTAAATTTCGAATATAAAGAAATCAAAAAATATCCTGTTTAAGTTATAAAGAGGTTATAAATGATCCTGGAATTATATGTAAAATTCAAGCTCAATGTACAGAGCAATAAAATGAGGTATTTAATTTATGATTTTAGCCTAAAATCTGTAATAATGATTCCGATAAGTGATTCATTACATAAAACATGAGCAAAAAAACTTGTTATTAGAAATACATCTGTATTAAAGTAAATCGCTTCGTCAGTTCATAAATACAAAGTTGAAAATGGCTGCCGAAAACGAAGAATTCTGCTCTAAACCGAAATATGAATTATTTATTAAAGCTAGATTTAGTTTTTTGCTAAATTAGCAATAGTGATGTCAGGGCTTTTTGATGAATCTGTATTGATCCTGTGAGAATACGGACGCTAGTTTTTATTTTCGCACTAACTGCGTAATTAGCGAGGGTGACTTTCATCGTCCGAAGGTCATCGACGAGGTACCACGATGTCACGTGACCCCCATACGTCCAAACGACCGAACGATAAATGACCAAATAAGGAAGTAAGTTTTTCTACGCGCGGGAGACGGTAATAAATCAGGGAGAGATGTCAAAAGACGTCAACAAATTCCCAGATTTTTCCCACGCTGATCGGGTATATAAAGGAGTCGGATTTTCTACTCCGGGCGCTTAGCCGAGGAGCTAACGCCGAAGAAACTCTCCGGACAGCGATCGTCGAGGGAAGAGTACGCAGTGGACTACTCTTCCAGCACCCTCAGGATCTACGAAGCTCATAATCGCCGCTCCATAAAAAGGTAAAGACTTTGAATATTTTCTATTCTTTCCTTATACGACGGAATTACTCCTCGAAGAGGTTAACAGAAGTAACCTCCGAGCGAACGTCACCAGGAAGAACTCTATACAGATTAGGAGCGACGGAGCATACACTGTATCTGGACATAACCGCACGACCTGAGAAGGACATCGCTCCACATAGCCTTCAAAGGACACCTCGGAGTAGAAGACGACGATCACAGAGTGTTTTATCAACGCCCTATAATATGAGAGGTTTCGTACGAGGTAAACCCTTGCCATAATTATCTCTCTCTCCAACGTGAGGACTCTCTCTCGATCTTTAGGCATTAGGATAGGTTAGATTTTAGAATACATATTTATATCTCGATACGCGTATTTATTATCTCTATGTATAATTATTTAATGTTTTAGTAAATGTGTTATTTATTTAAACCTGTGTAGTCTTTTGGACACATGTCACGACTTCCGACTCCTTCCCACTCATATCTTTAGCCCTCCCATAGCCATTCTCTGACAGCCAAGCCGGTAAGTGGGGAGAAGCTCTCGCTCTACCTCCTCGGTTCGCACATTCTTATATTATACAATAAACCAGAAGTTTTCGCAGATCCTGACTCGTTTTCCCACACCTGTCGAGCTTTAGCTGACAAGGCACTGAAGATCACAGGTTTTACTGTATTTATTATCTAGGCCTATATTGTAGAATGAATCATACCTAATTCGTCTTCATCCAATATTTCATTGAGTGCACCATTTCCTGTTTTAGTAGATCCATAAACTTGTGACATGACGGAATTTATAAGAACTGAAACTACAGTACATCACAGTTAGTGTAACTTTTATTGTTCAAGATCTCAAACAGTTGTTGAGGAATAAGATAGACAAACTTACCACTTTTAGCGAGTGTCTGAAGGATTATTTTAAAAAAATTGTGGACTTTGTTTAGGATCCACTTAAGCACGTTGTTCAATTGCTTGAGCGAAATTAATCTGAAAGCAATGAATAAATACAATTCAGAAAACACTGGTAAAATTTCATTCGTTTTTAATCTATACTCCAGAGCCAGCAAACAGTATAAATTACAGAGAAAAGACTTGATAAATTGTAAAAAATAATAAAATAACTCGAGTTTACAATTGATTATATAGAGTAGATCCCCATATAAGACGGTAAATACGTTCCGTTCTTTATGAATCAATTTTGTAGGAATCATAGTTTACGGACTACGGCTGTTTGAAAGGTTTTCTTTCATAAAATTAATCGATTCTAGACTAATTCGACTCAACATTTCCAAAATACGTATATTTTTTTGAAAATAATCCGTATAAACTACGTTATAAACAAAAAATTGTAGGATTGCTTACCGAGTGTGTACCGTTCGACTACGCCCGTTGCTAAAGCTTGGTTTCGTCGCGGAACAGCGCATCAAACCGCGGCCGCGATTTCTGATATTATTTTTCTGCGAAAACTTCGTTGACCTTTGGAGACATCCTTAATATAAATAATTTTTATGGCCGTTAAATAAGAAATGTTTCTTTCACAAGAAATGTATAAAATTACAGTACTGGACAGACGATAGGTCGCCTAACTCGCCGTAGCGTGACGCTAGACGGCGAAAAATATATATTTAATTATAATAAAGTTACAATAAATTAAGTTAATATATAATTATATATACAGTACCTAATTTATATATAATTAATATATAATTATATGTACAGTACCTAATTTATATATAATTATATGAACAGACGATACTAAACTCAATTTATCCGCCTAAACGTCCGTAGCGTGGCGCTACGGACGGCGGGAAAGTAGTTCGGCTGCCCGATGACGTTTTACGTATTATAGGAGTTATTTTTACCGTTGTTTACGGATACTGCCACAATTTTTATAGGAATCATAACTATAGGAAACGGTTTTATAGGGGGATCTACTGTACTGTATATACGTATCTCTCTTCAGCAAATATAATCACTAGACCGTAACCGATTTTATACATTTTCCACGTTTATTTTTATGATTTTGAAAAGTTTACTTTATCAGACATTTTAATAATAACTCTATTAACCGTGGCATTATTAGTAATCATCGAGCATTCAACGATTACACCGAGAGATAAACATGACTACCGAAAACTTAATTTAACTTAAAATAAACAAATATATTTCTTATAAAGGTAATTATGGTCAAAAAATACTTATTAAATGGCGTTATTTATAATTTCACCAACCGGAAAGATAAAACGAACTGAACGGTAAGAAGCAAACTTCTAATATTCCTGCAGTGATAACGAAATTACACAAAAATGGAGTGTAAAGTTGATAAAAAATATAAAATCGAACAAGTAATTACACCTATTTGACCTTATTTCTTACCTTAAAAGAAATGAAAAGAGAATTAATTACCTGACAACGGAATCCGACCTGCAGTTTACAATAACCGACAGTATTCGGATACAATCCAAGGTCCTAGAATATAAAGAGAAGGAACGTTTCTTATTGGTTTCTTATTTGACGTCAGTCGTATTCGAAAACGAAACGATATTATTTACTCATACATATACAAAGATAACTTTGTCAAAAGGACAGTTTTTTATGTTATCTAATATATAATCGAGACGGATTGATAATAATAATAATAATAATCAGCGCAGAGCCCAAACGGTTAGGAGTTGAAAGTTGAAATTTGGTACACAGAGTACGTCACGAAAACGCACACTAAGAAGAGATTTTTCGAAATTCCCCCCCCGTGGGGGAGAGAGACAGGATTAAAACTTTTATATACATTATGGATACGAGCTCAAACGGTTAGGAGTTGAAAGATGAAATTTGGTACATAGTTAGGGTACGTTAGGAAAACGCACACTAAGAAGGAATTTTTCGAAATTCCTCCCCACGGGGAGAGGGACAGAATTAAGGCTTAACACTTCCATCAACAATGGAAGCGTTAAGTAACAATGGAAGTGCTAAGTAACAATGGAAGTGTTAAGTAACAATGAAAGTTTTAAGTAACAATAAAAGTGTCAACAATGGAATTGTTAAGAGAAAGCGACATGCAAGACGCAGATGCAGTTTTTTTTTTTTTCGTTTTTGCGGGAAATTGAACATATTTTTAGACCCATCTAAAAATTCTCTAATTAGTCTGGAAACAAGGGGACCCAATTCTTGCATTCTGTGAAATCGGGTAAGGTTAACTATAACATAATAATCTTTATCTTAGTTATCGTTACTTTTGCCCGAGCAACGCCGGGCCCACCTGCTAGTAAATATATATTTTAATATCAATAAACAAACAAAATCAGTTGTATGTTTAATTAATGATGTCATAGATGAAACGGTTTTACATTTGAAACGTGGTTTCAGTTTTTGTAAAAATTGATTTTATTCTTTAAACTAAATATTGTAATTCATCATTGTTTAATTCTACATTTTCCTGATATATCTCACACAAATCATCATCATTTACATTGCATGAATTTTGAGATATTCCTTATTCTTTACAAGTAGACATATCTCAAAGTTATTGCAATAAATCTGCCTCTTCAAACATTTTATTTATTAAATAATTTCCAGAAATCTGATCTTCTGTGTTTTATTTATTTTGTAATATTCCAGGTGATTTACCTAAAATTATTATTCTTATTCTGCATATTACTTCAAGTGGACTAGTGTGAACATATGAATTACCTTCTGTTCGAATCTGAGAAAATAGATTTTCTAAAGAATCCTAATTTACTTTACACGTAAAGATAAATATGATTTTATGTTTAAATATCTCAAAGTAAATGGCAAATTCATATCTTCTTTCCTTCAATTTATTTTTTTTATCTCTAGCAGATTGGACTATATATTTGTTTTTATGTAAAGGTATTTTTCAATAATGATATAAGAAAATCTTCTTAATTTTTCTCATTTATTTTTTTCAATTTTTCATGTTCTTTTTCAATGATGACAGTTTTACTTTTCCAAAATTTCAGATTTCTTTTGATTGTTTGCATCCTTATCTTGATATGTTCATTTTCAAAATAGAATTTTATTACATTTATGAGATTCTTTTAGTTTGTTCAGTTTATTTACATCTAAAAGATTTCCTATTTCTTTTTAATAAACAATTTTTTCTTCGATTTGATGACTTCTGTATCAGGAAATAATGCAGAAAACAACTGATTTGTTTAATCTTGGCTTGAGTAGCTGTGATGATGTTTAATTCCCATGATACGCAGATGTAACTTCTGCCGCAGTTATTTGATCTATGTCTAATGAATGTTTTTGCGTAAAAAACTAGAAATTGATGCCACAGTAGACTTGTTTTTGAAAAGTAACTTATGTTTGTTACATTCTGAATGCACAACCAGGGCTTTTTTACCTTCGAATTTAACTGTATTATCGGTTGTGATACTTTGCATTCAGCAGTGAAATTGTCTCGTTTTCTAAGCCAAGTACTAATCAGAAAATCGTTCGATCAGTTGTCATCAGAGCTTGTAGAGAACGGCCCACGTATTTGCAAAATCTAAGTGGCTCGTATAACATGGAATTCATATAAAACGGAATAATCAACAGTGTTATAGGGGGTCGACTGTACTATATTTGGCTATCCTCTTTTCCGATGGTGTCATTTCAGTTGAGCTTTCCGAATCCGACATTATGCCGTATAAGTACCAAAGCAACGACAGAAACACTCGCGTACCTACTTCAACAACTGCTGGTAAATGTTTTATTTACATTTAAAACAATTTTAGACCCATTTTTATTTCGTAATGTCAAACATGGAGTGATGTCTTATATTATAAATCTGAATTCCGATGTTTGAGTGGAATTCGCATCACGCGTCATACGTTATTCGCATTGTGCGCTATTCTTTACATTAGTAACCATCGGAAACCTGGCATCGGTATATTACGTATTTTATTTGTTAAACATAAATAGCACATGAAGCACGCGCTACCCCTGACCCCATGCGAGCTGTCGACGACTGCATATAATATAAGAGGAAACTAAGAGTTTTTTAGGTGGCTCTCTTGCTACTGATTTCTCAACCTTTACTGAATTTTTAGTCAAAAAAGTCAACGCGAGACATTTTTACGTCTTTTGTCTCGGGAGATCTTAAAACGTTGATAAATTAAAAATAAATAAATAAAACTTGGGGGTGTTTCTGTACGTTAGTTTCTGTTTCGAATATGAAGAATGTCATAAGATAAAAATAACAGATAATATAGTTTTGTTTGCGAACGCTAAAAAAAGCTGTTAATCTGCTTATCACACGACTGTTGTATTGTTTGTACCATTTTTATCGAGTACGTCTGATAGTCTTTCTAAATAATTTGTGCTTGATTAAATTAAGTAACAATATCGCATTTAATTGTTTAATTGCATATAATTATTCATTTTTGTGTTTCCTGTACATTGTAATCCGTAATATTTGTAATTGTAGCGTAATTGTAAGTTAAAAGTGAAAGACACAGATTGAACATATAAACGATGATAATGCAGTTATAAGGTTTTCACTTTTTATATAATGTGTACTATAATTGGGTGTTGAGTTAACCTCTTTGGAAGCAGAGTCAGCTATGTCATCAATGAAAGATGATCTGTTCCAAGGATGGTATTTCTGTAAAATTTTTAGGAAAAATTGTCCTGGATTGTTTAATTATTTAGTTTTGTTTAATAATATCTGCGAATAGTAAAACATTCTAACTGATTGGCGTGTAAGTATAATTATTGGAATTCAACTACAGTGTTCCAAGCTTTCAATGATGTCAAGTTGTATCCAGGACGAAAAGGTTTGGCTTGTCGTTACAGATTAAGCATCTTATTTCAAGTGCATCTACAACAACCTAAAGCATGTGACTTGTCTTGACACCGATTATGTCAACGTATTTGTGTGGAATATAGCAAAGCCAACAGCTTCATTTCGAAAATGAAAATGGTTCTTCTTAAGAGAGCTCTAGTCGGGAGCGCTTGTACCAAGACGTAACTGGACTGCCATTACCACCCAGTCCAGTGGTCACCTATTGGGGGTCTTGAATAAATAGTCTGATATTTTACTGCGAGAACTTTGAGAAACTCAATGCGTTTATCAACAAACTTCCTCCTGGAGATGCTGCTGTCATCGACAGTGTCAAGAAACTGGTCGCTGATCCAGTAGTGACCACAGAGCTCTACAATGCTCATCTTTATGTGTAAATTGCAATGAACAACTATATAGTTTGTAAATATAATACTTCTTGTTAATTTTTAATTTTAATAAAACCGCATTTAAAAGCACCCAAAACGGGGAGAAAGCACCCGAATAAGCAACCAATCAATCCTAAAAATGCACCTAAAAATCCGAACCACAGCTATTACCTTCTATTTCTAACATATTCTATAAGATTCTGCATGTTATTTGACTAGACTTTTTCAGATTGGTTTCTGAACCTTGAATAATGTTTTTGTATTGTACACTTGTATTGAAAAACGATCGAGGAGAAAACGTGGCAAACTTTCTGCCTTTTTCGTAGAATTACAATCGGCATTCGATTCTCTGGATAAATATATTTTATATACCAATTCTCCGTAAATGTTGCCGTAAGTTATAGATTTGTTAATTGTCTAATCCAGTGTTTTTCAACCTTTTTGAATACGCGACCCCTTTACAAGTTAAAAAATTCTGGCGACCCCCCTAGGGCCATATTAAAACTATATCAGTGATTTTAAAAACTATGTATTTAATTTTCTTTCTGTTGAGAGAAATTATTGTTGATTAAAACGTGAATTTGAGAAGAATCGACAATAACTTAAGATAAGTAAGCTATGAAACTTCCTTTTCATTATAACATTGCGCTCGGGGTGCTGTTGACCTTTTTTTTTTTTTAGGATGAGAATTTTCAACTTCTACCCTTCTACCCACTTCTTTAGTTTCTCCTGGCTACACCCATCGTTGAGGTCTGAATGTCGATCAAAAAACCAACTGTACTTTATAATAAACAAGTACAGCCTTCTCGCTTAAATTGTAGTTTTTTTTAATGTAGTGTAGGATCTACAAACACTTGTTTTTTTATTTTACCTGCGACCCCCCGTGTAAAGCTTCACGACCCCCCTGGGGGTCGCGACCCACAGGTTGAAAAACACTGGTCTAATCCAACTACACAATAATTGGAAACTTGCTGTACTATTAATGGAAACAATACGAATCTATTTTTTACGCGTAAAGGATCAAACAAGGATTTGTATTAAGCTCAATTCTATTTAGTTTGTATATTAACGTATTTGTTAAGGAATCGTGTACTTTAGAAGTAGCGGGATGCTATCTGGAAGATTGTGATGTAACGATTCTTACATACGCCTATGATTTGGTAATGTTAGCAAATTCTTCAATTGGATTAAAAAATTGATTAATTTCACTGTATAAATTATCTCTTAGTATTAATGTAAACAATTAATGTAACATTAATTAAACAACAAATTAATTTTAAAAAAACATTAATAAATTAATGTTAACAAATCTGAGATCATAGTGCTTCGTTTCTACCCATTACAATATCAACATTATGATTTACCGTCCTACCAAGTTTCCAGTAGAAAAACAACATCGAAAGAAGACGAAAATTGCCAAAATACATAAGGTTTATTCCAAATTCCCTTACAGTACCACGACATTATAGAAACATCAGAACAAAGTCACGAAAGGAGAGAAAAGGCATGTGGATGTAAATAAAACCGCTTACTATTGAAGATGTGTAGTAAATATTTGTCAGTGGTGTGTAAATTTTACGTATTTCATTTGTTAAAAGTAAACGGCACAAGGGGCACACGTTATCCCAGGGCCTCCATGTAAGCTGTCGACAGTCCTGATTGTATATAAAGAAACACAAGACTCTCAGTTTTCTTGTATAAAAAGTTTTAGGCTGATGCAACATTTTTCAGAGATTCAATTCACAATTAATAACTTTATTATTGAGTGAAAAAATATATAAACTGTAGTTTTTAACACAAAACAATTGTTATCCTGTTACATTAAACGTCCATTTTCTGGTAAAAACTAGCTCTAATTCGATTTACATTCTACTCAATACCCGCCATCGCTTACCAAGTAACTAACACCGAATAATTTTAAAACTACAGTAGAGCCTCGATTATCCGACTTAATTGGGGACTGGGGTTAGTCGGATAATTGAAAAGTCGGATAACCGAAAAGTATGAAAAAATCCATTATTAGTGTAGTATATTATTATATTCCATGTAATTAGTATATTATTATATCGCTATTAACCTACTTCGCGTTGAATTTTCATCGATGTTAAGCCTATCAATTTTTTTTTAAAAATAATAATCGTCGTTATTGTATCGTTAAAAATTAGAAGATTAAGCCTCGTTTAAATACTGGCTCCCTTTGATGGTCGAATGAGTGTTGCCAACTAAAACACGTAAAATAATATTAAAGTAGCCAAGATATAGCCAAATACTGTAGCGTTACATCACTAGCGGACATTTGAAATTTGCCGACTAGGACGGTCGGTTAACCGAGGGGTCAGATAATCGAGGCGCTACTGTATATGGCTTATCTATACTTAAATGTAATTTGGTGAAAGATTGCTGACTTTTATGTTGTAACACGATAGATTTTGACATCAATTATACTATTAAAATAAATATAAATAAATTTTCTATTGAAGGAAAGGTCAATTTTATGGTGCAGTTGTCATTGTTCATTAAATAGTTTACTGTTTACTACACCACAGATAAATGTATCGCATGGATGATTTCGTGTAATTATTTTCCAATTCATGCAGTTATAAATCGGAAAATAACTTAATTAATATAAGGCCGCAAACTTTCAAACACATACTTCTTTATAAGTAAACAATTGTCTTCGGTGTCATTGTCAGTAGAAAATTTTAATCCAACCGACTCATAAAATAAAAGATTTGAAACCTTAATTAACATATTTGAAGGATTTTCGACACAATTGAAAGCCTTAATTATATATGCAGGGAATGTATTGAGTCGACTTCTCTGTTCAATCTGATCAATATCAAAAGGAACTTCAACTATTCCACGGAAATAGATTTTAAATTTGTTCCACGTGTTTTTAATCACCATATTTCGAATATTCTCCATCTTTTTCCAGTTATTTTCCATTGTACTGGTATCATTCGGTCGAAGAAACTCTTTTCCTATTTTCGTAAATATAAATATTTCCACTTTATGGTAATGCGAAATTTTATCGTGAAGTTTATTCAAACTTTCAAACATATTTTCGTTAGTTTTGGGAGGATCGCAAATGTCAGCAATGAAGTATATTTGAGAAAAATCTAAAGGAATCATCCAATCAGTATTGTTATTACGTGAATTGTTAGAGTATTCGTACTTTTTAACTGTGTTCGAAAATATTTTCTTGTCTTCTTCATTGACGATTTCGTTGTATATCATTATCGAAAGGTCCAACGAAAGCACAATTTTTTCTAAATGTTTGAAGCAACTCTCTGGAATTTTTTCTCTCTCCAAATAAACCAAAGTAAAATATAAGAAAATTCTGATCAGTTGTAAATTCTGTAACAGGCGGTATAGTAGAATCGCTAGTGACATTCAGGAAAGTCACTTTAGGGTTCTGATGCAAATACAAAGCGACGAGAAATTCTTTGATAGACTCGTGTATGAAATCAAAGCAAGGATTATCGTCAATGTCAAAGCAGTGAGTAAGAAAATCCATATGACAATCAATAATGTTATTTTGATTTAATTCGTCGAATGTGAGTTTTTGTTTTTTTTTCGAAGGGATAGAAGAGAACTTTTTGATTGGTATTTTTTTCGTAAATTAACTTTTTAATCTAATTAAAATTTCGTCCGTAAGAAAATCTATTGGCACTTTGGCATTTATTTCAATTTTTTTCAGTGATCTCTTTATAATCAATTGCATTATATAAATATACAAATCTGTCTTTCTATGTATATTTTCTAATTGATTAATTTTATGCATACAACAAAGCATATGCAAGAATAACGGACGTTTAGACAAAGAGAAATAAAATTCGTTTTATAATATTTTAAGGAATCTTTCTGTTTTATCAACATCTTGTTTGAATACGAACTTCGCGTATTAAATTACCTTCTGTTGGAATCTGAGAAAATAGATTATCTAAAGAATTCTGATTTACTTTACACGTAAAGATAAATGTCATCTTATGCTTAAATATCTCAAAGTAAATGGCAAATTCATATCTTCTTTCCTTCATTTAATTTTTTTTCTCCAGCAGATTAGACTATATATTTGTTTTTATGTAAAGGTATTTTTCAATAATGATATACGAAAATCTTCTTAATTTTTTTCATTCATTTTTTTCAATTTTTCATGTTCTTTTTCAGTAATGACAGTTTTACTTTTCCGAAATTTCAGATTTCTTTTGATTGTTTGCATTCTTATCTTGATATGTTCATTTTAAAAATAGAATTTTATTACATTTATGAGATTCTTTTAGTTTGTTCAGTTTATTTACATCTAAAAGATTTTCTATTTCTTTTTAATAAATAATTTTTTCTTCGATTTGATGACTTCTGTATCAGGAAATAACGCAGAAAACAACTTATTTGTCCAACCTTGGCTTCAATAGCTGTGATGATGTTTAATTAATTCCCATGATACACAGACGTAACTTCTGCCGCAGTTATTTGATCTTTGTCTAGTGAATGTTTTTGCGGAAAGAAACTAGAAATTGATGCCACGGAAGACTTGTTTTTGAAAAATAACTTGTTTGTTACATTCTGAATGCACAATCAAAGCTTTTTTACATTCGCATTTAACTGTATTATCGTCGTGAATTGTTTACATTCAGCAGTGTAATTGTCTCGTTTTCTAAGCCAAGTACTAAACACAGGATCGTTCGATCAGTTGTCGTCGAAGCTTGTACTATATTTGGCTTTACTTTTTTACGATGGTGTCATTACAGATGAGCTTTCCGAATCCGACATTATGCCGTATAAGTACCAAAGCAACAACAACAATACTCGCGTACCTTCTTCAACAAGTGCAGGTAAATGTTTTATTTATATTTAAAACAATTTTATACCCACTTTTATTTCGTAATGTCAAACATGGAGTGATGTCTTATATTATGAATCTTAATTACGATGTTTGAGTGGAATTCGCATCACGCTCCATACGTTATTTGCATCGTGCGCTATTCTTTACCATAGTAACCATCAAAATACCTGGCATCAGCATATTACGTATTTCGTTTGTTAAACATAAATGGCACATGAAGCACGCGCTACCCCTGATCTAATGCGAGCTGTAGACGAACCTATCTGTATATAATATGAGGAAACTAAGAGTTTTTTAGGTGGCTCTCTTGCCACTGATTTCTAAATTATATTATGTATCTGAATGGCTAAAAAATGTGGATTGAGCTGATTGTCTGCAAAGTTATAGTCTTCATTTTAGAAAAATTTTTAAGGTACTGTACATGCGAAAGGACGTTACTGTTCAGTCTGGTTATTAGCAATAAACTATTCTTTCTCTTATGTAATTGTTGTTTATCAAGACGACTTCCTAACACTTGTTAAATTTGGGGTTGAGCTTGGTAATATTACGGTATGTTGTCTTTATCTTAGGGAAAATGACTAGCAATCTACTTTTATACATTAAACGGTTTGATATTAGATAATAATAGAAATGTGTTGATTGCCGGTGATTACAATGCTAAGATCGGTTTGAAGAATATAATTTCTGCGGCATTTTGTAATTTTTTTGGTATTGTTTGTCCTAAACAGAAGAATTCTAAAGACATAGCGATTGTGGTAGGAAGCTGCTTCACTTATGTAATGATCTAAATATGATTATTGTTAATGGGTGATGCTTAGGTGACGAAGCGGTTGATTATTCTTTTATCTTTAATCGTGATTATTCTGTTATTGATTTGGTCATACTCATTCTTTTTCCATAGTAACCATCAAAAGACCCGGCATCGACATATTTCATTTGTTAAATATAAATATGGGGCACGGTCCTCATGCTAGCTATCAACAATCCTGTCTGTATATAATATTACAGGAAACTAAGAGTTTTCTCGCGTACAAAGTTTTAGACACATGCAGCATTCTCTAAAAATTCTATTCACAATTATAACTTTATTAATAAGTGCAAAAATACAAAAATTGTAAAATTTAACACAAAGCAATTGTTATAGCATACTGTAGTTTATTAATAGTTAACATATACCAAGGCCTTCTTGCATTTAAATTATCTGGAGTTCATCGAAATTAATACTTTATAGAAAAACATAAGCATTAAAATATCAATTTTGATTGTAAAGTTGTGAGTGTATTTCTTAACATTGAATAAGTATTCTACTCAATACCTGCTCTCTCCTAACAATCAACTAACATACAAGACATCTACATCACTAATCTATATATAAAAGTAATTGGGTAAAAGATTGCTGACTTTTATGTCGTCACCTAATAAATTTTCACGTCAATTATACTTTAATAATGAATATCAATTAATAACATTCTATTGGCCGAAAGGTCATTTATATAATGCAACTTGCACTTTTCATTGCATTGAAAAGATCATTTAGTATCATTATTTTCCAATGTATGCAGTTATAAATTGTGAAATAACTTTATATAAGGCTGTATAATTTGAAACAGATTCTTCTTTAAAATTAAACTATTGTCTTCCGTGTCATCTTCTGTAGTAAATTTCAACTTAACCAACTTGTAAGATGTATTTAAATTTGAATCATCAAAAACTATTTCTGCAGGATTTTCGACACAACTGAAAGCTTTAAGCAAATATGCAGGGAATGTAATAAGTCGACTTTTGTTTTCAATATCACATGCAATAAGAAAAGAAGCCTGAAATATTCCACATATATATATTTCAAAATTTTTCCACGAGTTTTTACTCAATATATCCCGAATGTTCTCCATTATTTTCCAATCATATTTCAATGCTGTTGTACCTTTCGGTCGAAGAAAATTTTCCCGTATTTTCAGAAATATAAATATTTCCACTTGACTGCATTGCGAAACTCTAATGTGAAGCTTATTCAGCTTTCTAAACGTAACGTCGGAAGACTCCTCAATGTCAACAATTGTGTATATTTGAGAAAAATCTGAAGGAATAGTCCGAACAGAAAAGCCGATACATGAATTACAAGAGTTATGGTACATTTTAATTGTATTCGAAAATATTTTCTTGTCTTCTTCATTGAAAATTTCGTTGTATATTATTATCGAAAGGTCCAACGAAAGTACAACATTATCTAAATGATTGAAGCAACTCTCTGGAATTCTTTCATTTCGAAATAAACCAAAATAAAACGTAATAAAATTATGAGTTGTAAACTCTGTAACACGTGGTATAGAACAATCTCTAGTGACATTCAAAAAAGGTACTTCAGGGTTCTTATACAAATACAGGGCGACGAGAAATTCTTCGATGGTCTCGTGAATGCAATCGAAACAAAAATTACCGTCAATGTCAAAGCAATGAGAAAGAAAATCCAAACCATTACAAAAAATCTTATGACGGTCATCGACATATTTATTTAATTCGTCGATTGTAATTTTTTGTTTCTTACCGAAGGGATACAAGAGCTCATTGGTATTTTTCTCAAAAATTAACTTTCCTAATCTGACTAAAATTTCTTCCAATGGAAAATGCTTTCCTATTGGCACTTCGAAATTTATCTCGAGTTTTTTCTTTGATCTATTTGTAATCAATTGCATTATATAAATATACAGATCTGTCTTTCTTTGTATATTTTCTAATCGATTAGTGCTATGAAAACAACAAAGCATGTGCAAGAATAACGGATATTTAGACAAAGATAAATAAAATTCGTTTCGTAATAATATAAGAAGTGTTTGTGTTTTACCAACATTTTGTTTGAACACCAACTTCGCGTATTCTTCCTGCTGTTCGGGTGTAAATTCTTGCAGATAAAATCGAAAATTCACGAATTCTCTTATTTCTTCGGCAGAATGAAGACGACTCGTCACAATAATAGTCAACTTTCGAAAAATACCAAAGGAACCCTTTCTTAAGAAATTTTTGGTTCTATCAAAACTCGTAACACCATCGTATTCATCTAAAATAATTAAGACATTTAAATTTGCCCTCCGTATTTTTTTCTTCATTTCTGGTTCTGAAGTTTCAAAAATATCTTCTAAAACAGCATCTTCCAATTTCTTATAACTTTCAAGTTCCGTTAATGTTAAGACTGCAACAATATCGAAATGACTTATGTAATTGTTTGAGGAATTATCAACAGCCCAATCGTACGCAATCTTCTTGCACAATGTAGTTTTGCCAGAACCAGGATCTCCACATACAAGAATGCTGGTATGTCCATCATCCACTTCTTTAAATATATCCTTGATATCAAGAATGTCGCCAATTGGACTAACACTAAAATTATGTGTTTCCTGCAGTTTTAAATTAACGTAATAATCCTTTAGAGGAAAATCTCTACTCTTATTCTCCCATAATAAAGACCTCATATAACTGTATTCTGTTTGGTAAAGTTTCTTCAGTCGTTTTTTATTATTAACAAATGTTTCTGAAAAAATTTTATATTATTAGATAAAAAACACTTGTTTAAATGATTATACATACTACTATAAAATGTAAAAAAATAAATAACATATATACAGTAAATCCTGTAAATTTCGAATATGAAGAAATAAAAAAATGGCCAGTTTGATTTATGAATAAATTATAGATATTTCCGCAGTTACATGTACTTTAATTTAGTTAATTTAGTTTTCTGCTAAATTAGAAATATTAATAATCATGGTTTACTTATGCATCTGTATAGATTCTATATTAAACAATGAAGCAAACGTATTGGCAGATCTTAACAGGTTTTCCCACACCTGCCGTGGTCTTCTTCACAAGGGACTGAAAGTCACAGGTTTTACTGTATTTATTATCTATATTGTAGAATGAATAATACCTAATTCGTCTCTATCAAATATTTGATCGAGTGCACCATTTTCGTTGTCAGACGATCCATAAACCAGTGACATGATGAATTTATTAGAACTGAAACTACAGTACATCACATTTAGTGTAACTTAGTTTTTCCATGATCTCAAACAGATGTTGAAGAATAAAAACACTTACCACTTTCAGCGATTGTCTGAAGCACTTTTTTCTTTTTTTGAAGATTTCTCAGAAACTTTTGGACTTTGTTTAGTATTTACTTAAGCAGGTTGTTCGGTTGCTTGATCGAAATGAATCTGAAATAAATGAACAAATACAACTGAGAAAACTTAAAAAATTTAAATTTGTTTTCATTCTCAAGTCCAGGGGTGGCCAACAAGTCGATCGCGAAGCCAATTTTGGTCGATCGCTCGCGATGTCTTGAAAATGTGTTTTACTTGTAACCGAACGAAACGCGCAAACGCAACTGTAGTGATATCGGACCTTCGAGTCTTCCTTCAGATGTGGTTTTGTCGTTCCATGTGCCATCCATTTGCGTCAATGGCGTAGCAAACATAACTGGTGCCCGGGGCACGACATTATATTGGCGCCCACGTTCCCCTCTAGAAACAAATCTTGTGTCTTGGAAAACATTTGGCGCCCCTCTGCGAGTGGCGCACAGTGGAACCAAATCCCAAAAAGCTGGCCAAAAGTCGAAAAATAGAGTTTAAGTTCCGGTAATTTCTAGTCGTGGGTTCGATTGGATAAGAGTCCGAAGGTCGAATTCTAGACTTTAGCGCCCCCCATCCCTTATACCTGCTATTGTAGTTTAGTCGAAAGGGGACCCTCAATCGAGCTAGACGCGTCACGCAGTAAGCAAAGATTTCTACGCTATATTCAAGAGGGTGCCAAATCTCTAAAAATCAATCGAATTTAAATTTAAAAAATGGAATTTGCAGCCGGAAGTAAGTAGAATATCATTATGTAACACAAAATTGATAATAATACTTTATGTGATAACAGTAAACGAATGATTTGTACGAAAATGAACGGAAGATTACAACAGAAAATTTTAAACATGTAGAGAAAAGTTCATAAATTCTGTAGAGTTCTGCGACTGGACCGATCGCATGTTGTAGATCGAACTATTATTGAATGAAAAAAATTAAAACTAGCTGCAACTAGCTGCAACTGTGTCATTGGTGCGAGTTCTTGCAATGTAAAACATAGTTTTCTGAATTTTGTACATTAATGACGCGGAATGTTTTGCTCTTTTTCTTGAATTTGTCTGGTGTTTTGAATATTGTTTGCATGTAGCATATAAGCTTGAAATCAAACTGTGGCAAGCGCATAGTGATAAAGAAAATAAAGAAATAAGATTCTGAAAAACGAATATACAGAAGGGTTTCCGTATAGAATTGGGTCTAATAGTCGATCAACCAAAGCCTGGTTTCGGTAGCTCGAATGATGAGAATACCGCTCGACAATTTTTCGAAAACTCAAGCATTTCTGCTGCTATTACAGGGGTTGATGAGGACTTGATTAAGCGTTTCCATGTCATATTGCAGACAATTTCGTGTGGCCATGAAATCGATTTCATAGAATTTCAAGATTATGCCTTACAGACAGCTCGTTACTTTGTGCAGTTATATCCGTGGTTCTGCATGCCAACTTCGGCACATAAGATATTGATTCATGGTGCAGAAGTGATAAATTCATCGGTATTGCCGATAGGGCAGATGTCTGAAGACGCTCAAGAGTCTACTAATAAATACATTAAAAAGTTTCGAGAAGATTTTGCAAGAAAAGTTCCCGAGTGAAAACAGTGGAAGACATTATTTTACGCCTATTATTAATATCCGATCCGTTTATTTCGAGTTTGTGCGAATTACCTCGAAAAAACTCAAAGTCGTTGCTTCCAGAAGCAGTTTTATTGTTAGTTGCGCCACGTATACCAGCAAGTACAGGAAGCTCCAGCGATTTCAAAGTTGAATCATCTGATTGTGAATCAAATTATTCTTTGGATGACGATGCATGAACTTTTAATCAACTGATTGTATGTTTTATCGTATTAAACAATATATGGATTTATTTTGTACTTTTTCTATAAAAGTGGTTCGTGTTAAATCCGTCATTTTGTTTTTATTTCAAATTTTGACTTCGGATTCGTAATCAGCGATCCCGAAAACCCTTGAATACTGACTTTCAGCCAAATTGATAATGCTTTTGACTTATGGCCAGCTTTTTGGGATTTGGCCCCACTGTGTGGCGCCCGGGGCGTGTGCCCTACTTGCCCCACTATAGCTAGGCTTCTGATTTACATACAGTTGTAAAATGGGAATAAAAAATGTAGAAAAAAGGGTTGTAAAACCGAAAAAAAGAAAGGCGGGAAGAGGGACAGAGAGAGTAGGTCGGGACACAGAAGAGAGAGGAAAGGTGAAATGGTGGTCCCCGAAAGTGACAACGTAGAGTTTCAATTTTTCTTCTGTTTGAAAAGTACCTTTTCTTCATGTTTTAAATTAAATTGTGGCTTTCTTACCTGTCTAAACATAGTATGTATTTCACACTTCCCCTTGCCACTTAGACTATACCTACGACAAGTCGATCGCGAAACATTTTTAAGATAAAAAGTAGATCTTATGTACCCTAAAGTTGGACACCCCTGCTCTAGTCGAAAGCGGGGTGTCCAACTTTAGTATAAACTACAGAAAATAGTATAAACTAGTATAAACTACAGAAAGCAGACTCGATAAATTGTAAAAAATGATAATTATAAATAATGCAATTAGTTCATACGCCTTTGTGTCCTTATTGAAATATTTATTATAAAAATGTCTATTAGGACATATCGTATTAGTAGGTCTTATTGTATCGCTCTCATGTTTTTGTGAATTTATTAAACTTACATATATATATATAATCTGTTTCTAGCAAATATATTGACTACACCGTGGCCGATTTTATACATCTTCCACGTGTTTATTATGCTTTATAAGAGTTTTATAATAAGACCCTTCTATAATAATATCACTATTAATTGTAGTATTATCAGTAATCGAGCATTAAATGATTACACTAAGAGATAAACATAAATACCTAAAAGTTAATTTAACTTAGAATAAACAATTATATTTGTTATTATAGTATTTACATTTCAAATATACATATTAAATGGCCTTATTTGTAATTTCACTAACCGAAAAGTTAGAAGGAAATGAACGGTAAAAAGTAAAATTCTAATATCGCTGCAGCCATGACGAAATTACACAAAAATGAAGTGTAAAATTAATATAAAATATAAAATCGAACAGGTAATTACACCTGTTTAATCTAATTTCTTACCTTAAAATAAATGAAGAAGAAATTAATTACCTGACAACGGTTCTGTGACGTACTCAGGAAAAATAGTTTTTTATTTTTGCAGGCGTATCATGTTTTTTCTAGAGAACAGTATTTTTATGTAATTCGTAATTCTGTGCTACAGTAAACAATACCCCACAGTATTTACATACAACCTCCGAAACTAGTGTATTAATTACACGTGTTTTTTTTCTAAAATGACTCATTGGCCTATGATTTTGCTACCTTTACTGAATTTACAATCAAAAAACTTACTCACCCAAGAGGCATTTTTACATTTTTGGACTGGGAAAATCTTAAAACGTCGAGAAATTAAAAATAAGTAAATAAAACTTGGGGGTGTTTCTGTATTTTAGTTTCTGTTTCGAATATGAATAACGTCATAAGATAAAATAACAGATAATATAGTTTCGTTTTCGAACGTTAAAAAAAAAGCTGTTTATCTGTCTATCACACGAATGTTGTATTGTTTGTATTATTTTTATCGAGTACGTCTGAATGTGTATCCGAATAATTTCTGCTTCATTAATTTAAATAACTATATTGCATTTAATTATTTAATTGCGTATAAGTAAAATACATTTAATTATTTATTTTTGCGTTTTCTGTACACTGTCATCCGTAATATTTGTAATTGTAGCGTAATTGTAAATTAAAACTGAAAGTACAGATTGAATATATAAACAATAGTAATGCAGTTATAAGGTTTCCACTACTTTTTACATAATATCTACTATAATTGGGTATTGGGTTCACCTCTTTGGAAGCAGAGTCAGCTATGTCTTCAATGAAAAACGGTATTGTTTTTGGATGCTGCACCCACTCGGTTTTTGAAAGGGGCAGAGTGTAAAAAAGACAAATTACATCGGTTTTAGTGCATTAGGCCCACTCATTACCAAATTGTTTAGCTCCCAAATGCATCTAAAACGCAAACCTGCCCCCGAAATGTTAATTAGTACCGTTTCGCGCAGGTGTTTTTATGATTGTAAATAGATTCAATGAAAATCTGCAACACATGTTTTCTTCATTAAAAAAAGAACAATGTTGAAAATTCTGTATTGAGGTCACCTCATTATGACTTTTGAGCGCAACAGTTCCAATTTCCTTTGTTCGGTGTCGGCGTCATTAGAAAATGGCAATATTGTTAGCATCTAAATTGGACATTTTAGCAAATAAGTTTAAAGGTGAAGGCGTATGCACGAACGAAAACGTACTTTCTGTTAGAAAAACTACGCGAAACCAGTTTATGATCAAACAATATCTAAAATCTTAGACAATCCTGTAGTGTTTATACTGGACTTAACGGTAGGTGCTTAACATTGCTGTTGCGCCACTGAAGGGATGCTGATGTTCAAAATGCACCAACTTGAAAATTTGAACTCAACTACAATGTCCCAAGCTTTCAATGATGTCAAGTTGTGTCCAAATGGTGACCAGGAGATCTACAATGCTCATCTTTAAGTGTAAATCGCAATAAACAACTATATAGTTTGTAAATATAAAACTTCTTGTTAATTTTGAATTTTAATAATCCACATTTAAAAGCACCCAAAACGTGGAGAAAAGCACCCGAATGAATATCCATCCATTCTGAAAATGCACCCGAAAGTCCGAACCTTAGTTATAACATTCTATTTTTAACATATTCTGTAAAATTCTGTATGTTAGTTGACTGGACTTTTTCAGATTGGTTCCTAAACCTTGGATAATGTTTTTGTATTGTACACTTGTATTGAAAAACGGTCGAAAAGAAAACGTGGCAAACATTCTGCCTTTCTCGTAGAATTACATTCGGCATTTGATTCTCTGGATAGAGATATTTTATATACCAATCCTCCATAAATGTTGCCATAAGTTATAGATATTTTTAATTGTCTAATCCAACTACACAGTAATTGGAAACTTGCTGTACTATTAATGGAAGTAATACGAATCTATTTTTTACGCGTAATGGATCGAACAAGGATTTGTATTAAGCTCAATTCTATTTAGTTTCTATAATAACGCCTTTGTTAAGGAATTGTGTACTTTAGAAGGAGCGGGATGTGATCTTGAAAATTACGATGTAAAGATTCTTACTTACGCCGATGATTTGATAATGTTAGTAAATTCTCCAATTGGATTACACAGAATGATTAATTTCACTGTATAAATTATGTTTTAGTATTAATGTTAACAAATATAAGATCATGGTGCTTCGTTTCTACCCATTAGAATATCAACTAGTGACGTAACGAATATTCAGTTACTATTCGGTATTTGGCCTATTCAGCCTATTTTTCGCTATTCGGCCAAATATCGAATATTTAAATAACTATTCTAACGAATATTGAATACTTAAAGACAGAAGTAAGAAATAACAAAAACACAGTAAATTAATCATTTTGTATATAGATTTAATGTTATCGAATTAGTGTTGTTTATTTATACAGTATTTATTTATAACTTATAACATGCGCAAAATAAAGAAAATAATATTAGTCACATGTATTCACAATTTATAATTACAAAGATCAGCACACGTACACGTANATCATTTTGTATATAGATTTAATGTTATCGAATTAGTGTTGTTTATTTATACAGTATTTATTTATAACTTATAACATGCGCAAAATAAAGAAAATAATATTAGTCACATGTATTCACAATTTATAATTACAAAGATCAGCACACGTACACGTATTCGTCTGAGAATCGTCGCACATGTCTGAGGGTGTGACCCTGTCTATCTTTTTTAAGCGCCCGTCTTTGCTCTTCTTTTTATCTTTCCTGTATCTCTCTAGTCCACGTATGCCTATTAATACATCATAAATGCGCTCACGATACTTTCGATTCGTCACTTTTCCGTCGTAGATTTCCCATTTTACGATTACGTGACTTACAGCCTGGTGATCACAGAAAAAAGAGACAAATAGGACGTCGGTATAAGTCACATTTATGATTTCACAGATTCGAGACAGCTTGATAGCCCGAACGGCCCTAGGCTTTCGCCCGTGCACGCTAAGTGACTTTCATTACAAGCATTTAGCTTTCCAAAGTCTATGACAACAATTGTTTGGCATTAACGGCCGCGAATTTCGCGCCAATGAGCTTCCTCGACTTGTTCGATCATGTTATTAACTCAATTTCATATTTATATTAACATTTTTTCATCGTGGTCCTTCTCTGTTATTTTTCCGTTATGTACACGTGTAGGTCATTTCATTGTTATCCACATTTGATATTAACTTTTATCACATACTGCCACGACGCTTTTGTCTGTCCGCTACAACTGTCAAGAATTAACGCGATTGGCGAAGCGTAAAAAGTATAAAATCAAACAGGTAATTACACCTATTTAGTCTTATTTCTTACCTTCAAATAAATGAAGAAGATATTAATTATTTGACTACGGCATCCGACCTAATCGTTTCAACTGTTACGTGACCAACACAACGGTTTTGTGACGTAATAAAAAAATAGTTATTTATTTTCACAGGCGTAATATATTATAAATATCTGAATTTAATCATGTTTTCGTTTACATAAAACTGTAATTTCGTGTAATTCGTAATTTTCGATCTACAGTAAACAATACCCCACAGTATTTATATCTAAAGACAGGAGCAAGGAATAACAAAAACACAGTAAATTAATCATTTTGGTATTTAGATTTAATGTTATCGGGTTAGTGTTGTTTGTTTATATTTATTTATAACTTATAACAAGAAGTATAGTTATACATTTAAATCATTTGGATCTTATCTACATTAAATCTAAAAGGACCAAAGCTAGAACTTAGTTCACTTTACATATAACAACACCTTTAAACACTGCAAGCATAATTTTTTCTTTTGACAAATGTTTTCTGCTCACTTGATAAGCCTTCCTTGGGCCTTAACGTTTTTCATGTATATTGATATATAAGGATTTACAATCTTTGTGATTTACAAATCTTTGTTAAAGAGACTTTATATCTCCAGTATTTCTAAACTTCTTATGTGCTGCTCATTGACTTGTCTTATTAATTTGGTTTCATCTAAATTTGCAACCACCTGTGCTCTGTTGCATATCTTGCTAATGCAGTTATTGGCTTGTTATGGTTGATATTATATTTATGCTTCTGAGTCTACTGGGTAATGATATGGCAGTGGAACCTATGTAGTTAAACAGTGGTTGAATTTTTCATCCATGATGAGGATGAAATATATCACTGGAGCCTTTTAATATTATTACGGTCTTTGCCATTGCACAGTAATTTGTATATCATGGCATTTGGTCATAGCACATATAAGCATTTAAGTATGAGGCAATCTGCCTATAAATTGAATTTAGGTTGGGATTATTCCATTTTTTTTTAATTTATACACTAAAGTCATCACGCCTGTTAATATTTTAATTTGGAACAGTGAAGTTTGGAATTCTTGACTGGCCTAAAGCAGACTTAGTCATCAAGTGAGCTGACTAATATTTGTAAAAAAAAAAAACTATGCTGGAAAGTGCTTAAGTGTGTGGTTATGTATAAATTATCTACATTGGAAAAGTATGTTTCCAAATTATCATGTATTTATTTACTCTTGACAAATATTAATAGTTACACCTTACATATTAATATTTTTACTTTATTGTTTCNAAAAAATTATACTTCAGATGTTAATTTAGTATCAAAAACGTAAAATATTTGAGTAGCCCAAGACATAGTCGAAGATTGAAGCGCCACAGCACTGGCGAAAATTTAAATTTGCCGACTGGAATTCTTTCGGATGATTGACTTTCGGAAAATCGACGCTCTACTGTATTTAATTATTAGTTTTTCCGTATTCTGTCAACTGTAGTCCCTACTCTTCGTAAATGTGGCGCAATTGTAATTCAAAAAGAAAAGCAGCACAGATTAATTATATAAACGTTGTTAATGCAGTTAAGGTATTACCATACAAAAGTGAAAACATTATCACTTTCTACCACTTGTTAAATTTGCAGTTGAGCTCGGTAATATTTCGGTATGTTTTGTTTATTGTAGGGAAAATCACTGGCAATTTATTTTTTATACCTTAACCGGTTTGATATTAGATGATAATAGAAATGTGTTGATTGCCGGTGATTTCAATGCTAAGATCGATTTGGAGAATATAATTTCTAAGGCATTTTGTAATTTTATTTAGTATTGTTTGTCCTAAGCAAAGGAATTCGAAAGACATAGTGATTGTGGTAGGAATCTGCTCACTTATGTGATGATCTAAATATAATTATTGTTAATGGGAAATGTTTAAATGATGAAGCGAGTGATTATTCTTTTATCTCCAATCGTGGTTATTCTGTTTTTGATTTGGTCATACCCATTCTTTTTCCATAGTAACCATCGGAAGACCTGGCATCGGCATATTACGTATTTCATTTCTTAAAAATAAATGGAAAATAGAGCACGGACCCTTTGCTAACTGTCGACGGTCCTGTCTGTATATAATATTACAGAAAACTAAGAGTTTTCTTGCGTACAAAGTTTTAGACTGATGCAACATTCTCTAAAAAATTCTATTCACAATCAAAATTACTTTATTAATAAGTGAAAAAATACAAATATTCTAGAATTTAACACAAAGCAATTGTTATAAGATACAGCAGTTTATGATTAGTTAACATATACCAAGGCCTTCTTGCATTTAAATTATTTAAAGTTCACCGAAATTAATACTTTATATGAAAACATTATACTCAAAATTGATATTTTCATGCTTAAGTTGTGAGTGTATTTCTTTACGTTGAATAAGTATTCTACTGAATACCTGCTATCTTCTGACAAGCAACTAAGATACCAAATATTTTTGAACATACAAGATATCTACACCACTAATCTATATATAAATGTAAGTTGGTGAAAGATTGCTGACTTTTATATCCTCACGCAATAAATTTTCACGTCAATAATACTTTTATAATAAATATCAATTAATTAATAACATTCTATTGACTGAAAGGTCATTTATATAATGCAACTTGCATTTCTCATTACGTTTGCTACACTGCAGACAAATGCATTGAAAGGATCATTTAGTATCATTATTTTCCAATGTATGCAGTTATAAATCTGGAAATAACTTGATATAAGGCTGCAAACTTTCAAACAGATCCTTGTATAAAAGTAAAAAATTACCTTCGGTGTCATCTTCTGTAGTAAATTTTAACCTAACCAACTCGTAAGATAATTTTTTTGAATCATCAACCAATATTTGTGCAGCATTTTCGACACAACTGAAAGCTTTAAGAAAATACGCAGGAAATGTAATCACTCGACTTCCCTCTGTAATTCGACGTCGAATAATTAAAGGAACCTGATATATTCCACATAAAAATATTTTAAATTTGTTCCACTTGCTTTTACTCAATATATTCCGTATGTTCTCCATCTTTTTCCAATCATTTTTCAATGCTTTTAGATCTTTCGGTCGAAGAAACTCTTCCGTTATTCCCATAAATATAAATATTTCCACTTGAGAGGAATGCCGAACTCTGTTGTCAAGTCTTTTCAGTTTTTGTAACGTAACGTCGGTAGACTCGTAAATGTCAATAATTAAGTATATTTGTGAAAACTTTGGGGGAATATCCCAAACAGAATAGTCGATACGTGGATTGTAAGAGTTTTCGCACGTTTTAATTGTGTTCGAAAATCTTTTCTTGTCTTCTTCATTGAAGATTTCGTTGTATATCAGTATCGAAACGTCCAACGAAAAAACAACTTTTTCTAAATTATTGAAGCAAGTTTCTGGAATATTTTCCTTTCTAAATAAACCAAAATAAAACGTAATAAAATTATGATGAATTCTAAACTCTATATCACGTGATATAGCAAATAATTTAGTGACATTCAGGAAAGGTACTTCAGGGTTCTTATACAAATACAGGACAACCAGAAATTCTTTGATGCTCTCGTGCACGAAATCGAAGTAAAAATTATTGTGATTGTCAAAGCTGTAAGAAAGAAAATCTAAACCGTGACCAAAAATCTGATTAAGGTCACTGAAATACTTATTTAAATCGTCGGATGTAAATTTTTGTTTCTTATCGAAGGGATAGAATAGCGCTTTTTTATTGGTATTTTTCTCGTAAATTAAATTTCCTAATTTAACTAAAATATCTTCCAAAGCAAAATACTTTCCTATCAAAACACTTGGATTTATCTCGAGTTTTCTCTTTGATCTGTTTGTAATCAATTGCATTATATAAATATACATATCTGTCTTGTATCTTCGTATATCTCCTAATGTATTATGAAAACAACAAAGCATGTGCAAAAATAACGGACTTTTAGACAAAGAAATATAAAATTCGTTTTCTAATATTTTAAGAAGTGGTTGTGTTTTATCAATATTTTGTTTAAGCACCAACTTCGCGTATTCTTCCTTCTGTTCGGATGAAAATTCTTGAAGATGAAATCGAAAATTCATGTATTCTCTTATTCCTTCGGCAGGATGAAGACGACTCGTCACAATAATGGTCAACTTTAGAAAAATACCAAACGAACCCTTTCTTAAGAAATTTTTGGTTCTATCAAAACTATTAATACCATCGTATTCATCTAAAATAATTAAGACATTTGAATTTTCCCTCCGTAATTTTTTTTTCATTTCTGGTTCTGAAGTTTCAAAAATATCTTCTAGAACAGCATCTTCCAATTTCTTATCACTTTCAAGTTCCGTTAGTGTTAACAATGCAACAATGTCGAAATGACTTAAGTAATTGTTTGAGGGATCATCGACAGCCCAATCGTAGGCAATCTTCTTGCACAATGTAGTTTTGCCATAACCAGGATCCCCACATACAAGAATGCTCGTATGTCCATCATCCACTTCTCTGAATATATCCTTGATATCAAGAATTTCACCGATTGGACTACCAAAATTATCTGTTTCCTGCAGTTTTAAGTTAATGTAATAATCCTTTAGAGGAAAATCTCTACTCTTATTCTCCCATAAGAAAGACCTCATATAACTGTTTTCTGTTTGGTAAAGTTTCTTCAGTCGTTTTTTATTACTATCAAATGTTTGTGAAAAAAGTCTCGGTTGTTAGATAAAAAACACTTGTTTAAATGATTATATATACTACTATAAAATGTAGCAAAATAAATATCATATATACAGTAAAACCTGTAAATTTCGAATATGAAGATATCAAAAAATGTCCAGAATGAATAAATTAAAGATATTTCCGCAGTTACATGTAAAATTCTGGCTGTAACAATAATTTAGATAAGTGATTCATTACATAGATTATAAACAGAAAGATTTTTGTTAATGTAAATCGCTTCGGCAGTTCGTAAATCATAATGGCTGCCGGAAACGAAGGATTCTGCTCTAAACCGAAGTATGAATTATTGATAAATACTTAATTAAGTTAGTTTTCTGCTAAATTAGAAATAGTAATAATTATGGTTTACTTATGCAGTTGTATTGATCCTATATTAAATAATGAGCCAGAAATATCGTCAGATCTTAACAGGTTCTTTTTTCCACACATGCCGAGCTTCACTTAACAACGGACTAAAGGTCACAGGTTATACTGTATTTATTATCTATATTGTAGAATAAATCATACCTAATTCGTCTGTATCCAGTATTTGATCGAGTGCACCATTTTCGTTGTCAGACGATCCATAAAGTTCTGACATGATGGAATTTATTTGAACTGAAACTACAGTACATCGCAGTTAATGTAACTTTGTTTGTTGAAGATATCAAACAATTGTTAAAGAATAAGAGAACTTACCACATTCAGTGAGTGTGTGAAGCTCTTTTTTTAGATTTTTCAGAAACTTTTGAATATTGTTTAGGATTTACTTAAGCAACTCGTTCAGCTGCAAAAAAATATGAAATAAATGAACAAATACAACTCATAAAACTTATAAAATTTGAATTTGTTTTCATTCTCTAGTAGAAAGCCAGAAAAGAGTATAAACCATAGAAAGGAAACTCGATAAATTCTATAAAATGATAATTATAAATAATGCCATTTATTCATATGCTTTTGTGTCCTATTATACTATTCATTATATAAATGTCTACTACAACATATCGTATTAGTAAGACTTGTTATTGTGAAAGATCGAAATTAGAGAACGTCGATATTTTCCGGTGAATGTCGACACATACAAAATAGGTCGGTAAAAGACCGAATATTTGATTATATTATTATACATTCGAACAATCGCCGGTGTATGTCGACAAGCACAGATTAGCTTTGGTGGAGGTCGAAACATCCCAAAAGCCGATATCGACAAAGAGACGACACTCTGTCGCCAAATTCTTCGCCGTTTCCTTCTGCTCAAATCGGTGATACCGTACAAATACAAGTTTCTGATGTCGACCGTGGCTGTACAGATGCCGAAAATGTGTTGGCGTTTGTTGTTGGAATAGAAGACTCCGACTTTTATAAATTAGAAAACAAAAATGGTACCCCCAAGCAGCTTTATACCCATGATCAGTTCGTAATTTGTAAAGAAAATTTACTTTCCATAGATAAGATTTCTTCTCAAGAAATATCGCCGAGAGAAGCAGCTGCAGCTAATTTGAAAAGTAGATGGCAAGGCTATACACGCTGTCATTGCAAAAAGAAAGTGTTCCACGAATAAATGCAGTTGTAAAAGCAAGGGACTCTCGTGCAATTTAAAGTGTCATAACAGTTTAAGTTGTTGCAATAAATAAAATTGTATAACGTTAATCACATAATTTATATGTCAGTTTATTATTGTATTATTCTCTTTAATGATTTAGAATGTACTGTTCGTTTTAGGTTCAACAGTTTATTTACATGCGCTGTTACTTAAGCTTTCTCCTATTAAAAAGCTGCATTTTTATCTTAACGTAATAAAACTACAGCAGAGCCTCGATTATCCGACACCTCGGTTAACCGACCGTCCTAGTCGGCAAATTTCAAATGTCCGCTAGTGATGTGGCGCTACAATATTTGGCTATATCTTCGCTACTTTAATATTATTTTTACGTGTTTTAGCTAGCAACACTCATTCGACCATGAAAGGGAGCCAGTACTTAAACGAGACTTAATTTTCTAATTTTTAACGATACAATAGCGACGATTATTATTTTAAAAAATTTTTGTTAGGCTTAACATCGATGAAATTTCAACGCGAAGTAGGTTAATAGCGATATACTAATATACTAATTACATGGGATATAATAATATACAGTACTACACTAATAATGAATTTTTTTATACTTTTCGATTATCCCACTTTTCAATTATCCGACCAACCCCAGTCCCCAATTGAGTCAGATAATCGAGACTACTGTATTTTTATTCAACATTCACCATCGGTGCATGCTGAATGTCGACATTTGCCGGTGTAAGTGAAAAATAATGATATTTAGCAAATATTTCGTACATACACGAAACAACTGTGTGAATGCTGACATTCACCGGAGAATGATGACATGTGCCAGATATCGGTCATTCACAGTAGCAGGACTTATTGTATCGGTCTCATGGTTTTGTGAATTTATTAAACTTACATATATCCTATATATATAATCTGTCTCTAGCAAATATATTGACTACACCGTGACCGATTTCATACATCTTCCACTTGTCTATTCTGCTTTATAAGAGTTTTTTAATAAAACTCTTCTTTAATAATATCAGTATTTATCGTAGTATTATCAGTAATCGAGCATTCAACGACTACACCGAGAGATAAATTAACTTTTCGGTAGCCATGTTTAACTTAAAATAAACAAATATATTTGTTATAATGGTAATTATGTTTCAAATATACATATTAAATGACCTTATTTATAATTTCAGCAACATGGAACGAACTGAAATGTAAAAAGCAAACTTCTAATATTGCTGCAGCCATAACGAAATTACACAAAAATGGAGTGTATAGTTAATAGAAAATATAAAATCGAAGAGGTAATTACACGTGTTTAGTCTTGTTTCTTATCTTAAAGTAAATGAAGAAAAAATTAATTACCTGATTATGCCATCCGACGTATTCCTTTCAACTCTTAGTTGACCACACAACTATTGTGTTATAATCNTATATTTGTTATAACGGTAATTATGTTTCAATTATACACATTAAATGGCCTTATTTATAATTTCACCAACCGGAAAGATAGAACGAACTGAACGGTAATAAGCAAAGTTCTAATATTGCTGCAACCATAACGAAATTACACAAAAAATGGAGTGTAAAGTTGATAGAAAATATAATCTCGAACAGATAATTACACGTATTTAGTCTTATTTCTTTCCTTAATTAATGTATGTGAAAAAAAATTAATTACCTGATTACGCCATCCGACGTATTTCTTTCGACTGTTAGTGGAGCAATAGTTACACAATAGTTGTGTAACTATTGTGTCATAATCAGGAAAAATAGTTATTTAAAATAATCTACATTTAACTATATTTTTTTCGTATGAAACAATATTTTTACGTAATTCGTAATTCTTTACTACAGTAAACAATACTGTACAATACACCGAAACTAGTGTATTAATTACACATGTTTTCTGTGTAAAATGACTCACTGTCCTATGATTTTGCTACCTTTCCTGAATTTACAATAAAAATAGTCACTCACCCTTTAGACATTTTTACATTTTTGGACAGAGGAGATCTTGAAACGTCGAAAAATGATGAATAAATAAGATTTGGGGGGTGTTTCTGTATGTTAGTTTCTGTTTAGAATATGAAGAACGTCATAAGATAAAATAACAGATAATATAGTTTCGTTTTCGAACATTAAAAAAACCGTTAATCTGCTTATCACACGACTGTTGTATTGTTTGTATCATTTTTATCGAGTACGTTTGATTGTATATCCAAATAATTTCTGCTTGATTAAATTAACAATATTGCTTTTAACTGCTTAATTGCGTATATTTAAATACATTTAATTATTCATTATTGCGTTTTCTGGACACTGTAGTCTATAATATTTGTAAATATAGCCTAATTGTAAGTTAAAAGTGAAAGAAGTACAGATTGAATACTGTATATAAACGATGACAGTGCAGTTAGTGTTTTCACTTCCTTTTATATAATATAATACTATAATTGGGTGTTGAGTTCACCTCTTTGGAAGCAGAGTCAGCTATGTCATCAATGAAAGACGGTACTGTTTGAAAGATGGCATTTCTGTAGAATTTTTATAAAAATTGTCCTGGACTGTTTTATTATTTATTTGTGAATATGTCTCTTTTGTTTGATTTTCAATTACGAAATGAAAAGCGAATTGAAAATCGGGTTAAAGAGACACATTCACAATCAAATAGCAGCTGCCATAAGTGATTTTTTGGAAAGGATGTTTTATTATTTAGCTTTTTTGTTTAATAATATCTGCAAATCGGAAGACATTCGAACTGATTGGCGTGTAAGTAAAATTATTCCAACACACAATGAAGATTATAGAGATCGTCCAGAGAATAATAGATGTAATACGTTATTACTAAGGTCCGGATTTTTCGATGCTGCACCCACTCGGTTTTTGAAAGTGGCAGAGTGTAAAAAAACAAACTACATCGGTTTTAGTGCACTAGGACCACTCATTACCAAATTGTTTAGCACCCAAATGCATGCAAAAAGCAAACCTGCACCGTTTTGATGCAGGTTTTTCTATGAATGTAAATAGATTCACTGAAAATCTGCAACACGTGTTTTCTTTATTAAGAAAAGAACAATCTAGAAAATTCTGTATTCAGGTCACCTCACCATGATTTTTAAGCGAAACAGTTCCAATTTCTTTTGTTCGGTGTCGGCGACATTACAAAATGGCAAAATTGTCCGCATCTAAATTGCAGATTTTAGCAAATAAGTTTAAATGTCAAGGCGTTTGCACAGACGAAAAAGTCCTTCCTGTTATCGTAAAACCAGTTTATGATCAAACAATATGTAAAATCCCACACAATCCTGTAGTGTTTATACTGGAATTAACGGTACGTGCTGAACATTGCTGTTGCACCACTGAAGGGATGCTAATGTTGTTCAAAAAGTTGCACCAACTTGAAAATACGAACTCAACAACAATGTCCCAAGCTTTCAACGTCGTCAAATTGTGTCCAAATGGTGACCAGGAAATCTACAATGCTCATCTTTATGTGTAAATTGCAATAAACAACTATGTAGTTTGTAAATATAATAATTCCTGTTAATTTTGAATTTTAATAATACAGCATTTAAAAGCACCCAAAACGGGGAGAAAGCACACGAATGAACACCCGATCCATTCTAAAAATGCACCCAAAAATCCGAACCTTAGTTTATTACCTTGTATTTCTAACATATTCTGTATGTTATTTGACTGGACTTTTTCAGATTGGTTTCTAATCCTTGGATAATGTTTTTGTATTGTACACTTGTATTGAAAAACGGTGGAGGAGAAAACGTGGAAAACTTTCTGCTTTTTTCGTAGAATTATTGATACAATCGGCATTCGATTCTCTGGAGAGTGATATTTTATATACCAATCCTCCATAAATGTTGCCATAAGTTTTAGATTTGTTAATTGTCTAATCCAACTACACAATAATTGGAAACTTGCTGTACTTTTAATGGAAACAATACGAATCTATTTTTACGCGTAAAGGATCAAACGGGGATTTGCATTAAGCCCAATTCTATTAGGTTTTTATATTGACGCCTTTGTTAAGGACTTGTGTACTTTAGAAGTAGCGGAATGCGATCTGGAAGATTGTGATGTAAAGATTCTTATGCTGATGATTTAGTAATGTTAGGAAATTCTCCAATTGAATTACAAAGAATAATTAATTTCACTGTATAAATTGTCTTAGTATTAAATATTAATGTTAACAAATCTAAGACATGGTGCTTCGTTTCTACCCATTAGAATATCAACATTATAATTTACCGTCCTACCAAGTTTCCAGTTTCCTGGAAAGAGGGCGAAAATTGCCAAAATACATAAGGTTTATTCCGAATTCCTTCACAGTACCACGACATCATAGAAACATCAGAACAAAGCCATGAGGAACATTGAATAAACATAGGCTCAAAGGAGAGAAAAGGCATGTGGATGTAAATAAAACCGCAGGCCTTTTCTGGAAGATGTGTAGTAAATATTTGTCAGTGGTGCCTTATAGATTCATGAGACCCCAATATACAGTGTTGACTCAAACCATTTTCTTATGAGGAATTTTTGGGAAATCTCCCCGGTTCTTTTTTAACACAATCGCCGGTGGGTTAAGCCCTGTGTCACCTTGGCAGTCTAAAGTTGCAGATATATATCCCAAATTTAAATTTCAATATTTTTAGTACAGTAATGAGTTTATGAAAGACTCGTTTAGGGGAATCTCTAGGCAATTGCCTTTTTGCCCATAGGTTAATGCAGCATTGGTAAACATCATTGTTGGTGCTGTAGAATCATCACACTAATCACTCAACCATTGCCAAAACTGTTTATGATGCAATGCGTATTTCTTGGCCAATGGGTACCAGGATAAATGCTACCTATTGTGCAAAGTCATTTCAAGCTTAGACTCGGCTGATGCAATAAAGCACAAAAGATGCCAGAGTTGTTTTAGATGTGTGTTAGCGGCATTGAATCAAGGTGAAAGGGTGGCGAAGAGATCATGTGTCATATCTAGAATGGAGTCGGACTTTAAACGAAGTTTATTTTGTTAATTACGGCAACACAACACTTGGACAATGTGCCGAAGAATGCATCCAAGTAACTTTCTATAGGAAACTGACCGAATTAGGTGTTAATGTGTGAAAAACTCAGAAAACCCCATGTGACCAGCCTGTTGTTGAAATGCAATCCTGTAATCAACTACCAGTGTTTTAATCACTCGGCCACTGATGGGCTAAGCACAAAAAGAAGACAGTGTTAATTACCAAGTCCCAGATCCGTCTTGTATTGTTTTAAAATAAACCAGCAATGGGTTGGTCAACTTTCCCTGTAACATTTAAAATTTTGGTGGAGCCATTTGTTATTTATTGAAAAAACTTCTTATATTTTTAATTATTATGAAATGGCAAACACTTAATTTTGAGAGTAGAGGCGAGTTTTATAAAAAATTGTAAATGCTAAGACCGAGTAAAATAGTCCCCAGGCAGCAACTATTCAGACACGACTCTTGTACTTATTTACGAGCAAAAATGTGCAAATTTTTAATGTTTACAAAGTTGTATCGAATCCCCTCAAACTTTCATTGACCCCCTAAGGAGTCAATACCGACCCTTTTGGGAAACCCTGGTCTAAGAGTTAAATAATGTCTTTCTTATTGTATTGTTTACAAAAGAACGAATCACTCTTGTTATAATTCGGAGAAATGTTTCAGAAAACTGTTAGTGGGGATCAAGAATATCAAGGATTGGATCGAATTGTTTGAATAGGACAGTGCAAAACACGGGCATACCTGTCAAGGGAAGAGTTTTCTATGAAAAACTGGCCATTAGGTATTATACGTGTGAAAAATCAAGAAAAATCCACATCACCAGTCTGTTTCTGAAGTGCAAACCCAGAACCAATTACCAGTGTTTGGGGGTTTTACAACACTGGATCATCAGTGGGTCAAATATGGAGAGTAGAATCAATTGACAAACCACTCAACAATGACGGCAAGAACCTACTCAGAATAAACGTAACATCCACATTCCTCTTATTCTACAAATTCTGTTCTCAAAATAATGCTAGTTCATACATGATTTTGCACCAATGAAGTGCTCTGTAACTGAAGTTTTCCTTGTAGAATTCTGCTGTGTCCAGAAACATCAGCGTACAAAATCTCTTTCAATTTGGACCACAACACATCTCTCCAGACAATGTCAGGTAGGGATTTTTTATGACCACCCATACATTCCAATTAAAATATTTTTTGCGAGAGTCTCACTGGCTGGCAACAGAGGTGACTACAATGCTTTTACTGTCAAAAACAGTTCACCTTCATTAAACTGTATTCTCACTGGGGGTCTTGTAAAAAAATATCAAGCAGATTTTCTCCTGTCTGCATCAAATACCTCAAAGAACAGCAAAACCTCCTGAAAATTCTGTATGGAAAAACTAAACTACCATTACTTCCCACTTGCAACAATAAAAAGTGTGACAATTCCTGGAATGCACCTTTAAAAAATTTACATACAGAACTACACTAGTGGCTACAGTCACCTAACACTGACTTAAACGGCATTCCCATTTCTGTAGGCAGGCCTAGAACTCAATTTCCAGAATACTGTGGAGCAGCTGTGTCACATTCTGCTGGATATCAGTTACATTAGAATATCTGTCCTTTTGGCAAAACTTTTAATTTTGGAAATAGCCTGAAATTGCAACGAGCTGTCAGGTGAAAAATGGCAGGATGTTCTAAGTGGGTAATTTCTTGTTTGGCCAGAAAATGCATTATGACTTGGCACATTGTCATGATGAATTATCCCTTGTGACCAAACAAACACCAGAATACCCAAACTGTTAGCACATGCTTGCCTTTTAGGGTGTGATAAACTCTGCGATTACATTGCATACTCTGACATTTTGTTTCTGGGTCGTACTGGAAGAACCAAGTTTCGCTACTCATAATTACACTCAGAAACAGATGCGCATTCAAAGAAAGATCAATCGCAACATCAATCTATTGCTACTTCTCTTCATCTGACAAGATCCGAGGCACAGACTTTGCAGAAATCCATTTCTTTTTAAAAAATGATTGTTGAATTTACATATTAAAAACATTTCATAGAAAAGACTAAAATGTCTTCATTTTCTCAATGTCAAATCGCCATGAACAACAGTCTTCCGTTGCAGAAATGACCTTTAATCCATCAAATCTTCTCATCCATCTTTGAATTTCTTATGCCACTTGAATAAATTGGACTTTTACATAGCATCTTCACCATACATCACTTGCAACAGTTGTAACATTTCAGTGGCGCAGTTGCCGATTTTCACACAAAATTTAATATTAGCACATCGCTGTAAATTTCAGTCACCACCCATTTTTATGCCAAAACGTACACTCTGATAACGATTATTTTTCCAATAGCTGTTCAACAACAAGCCCTATCAGCTTGAAATTTATGCACTTATTAAGTTCAAACATGTTTAAACACAAATGTGCATGTCATTTTGATATAATTATGTCACAGACAACACTATGTAGCCACGTTAAAAATTAAATTGTCACACCTATACATTGTCAAAAGGGGAAACTAAGTTTTATGAGAATACTAATGAAGCTAAGAATGTGTAAAATTGAAAATGCACTTTCATCTTAATTATTGGATTGGAGAGAATTTAACTTTTAAAGTGCATGTAACATGCTTTGTTACCTCTACTTTGTATTAGATTAAACCATATCACATATTAATGTGATGAAAATTGAATTTATTATGTAAAAGAAATACATGATGTAATATTAACTACGCAATAAAATAAAATGATTAAAGACTGCATCTTTGTTTAATCAATAAAATAATAACAGTTCCGAGTTATAAATGCACCTTTTTTTTTGGGCTTAATAAAAATTAAATACATATTTGTATCGAGTTCGGTTATATCATGCTCTTAAGAAAAAATAGTCGTCTTCGACTCGTCTTTCCAAAGATCGTAATATTAAATGCTCTCGCTAAATAAGTGCACCGATAATTTTGCTCAATATGACGAAACTACGATTAATGTCGAAATCACCGACCGAACATCAACGCACGATTCACCAAATGAATGTTAAATCAACATATACAACACAAAGGCAATAGATACATGGTCCCGGTCTTATAAAATATAGTCCAGTTCGTGACGGACAAAGTTGTTCCGTCCGTCGTCGGCCACTCGGGGATATCCGGCGACTAGTGAGTCCTGTCCTCCGATGTACAAGGTGTTATAAATTTTCCAATAAACATCTCTCACTTTTCGGGCGGGATGGAACAGACCCTGCAAAAAAATTCGCAAATTATAATTTTACATATATGTGCTATTTGATCTCTGCACATAACTGATATATTGAAATGCTTACCTGAAGAGAGTATTGAAGGATTTTGATGGGACCGAGCGCAACTCTTAATCCTTCTACGGCTCCCATGAATGCTTGCACCAAATGGGGCGATGTTTCAAATATATTTGGCCAGACATAATTTAGTAGATGTACCAGGGCATCTTCACATCCAAAACCGTAAACACCAAGTGCCATGTGCTGAATTGCGGCACATGCAGTCTGTCTATGGACGAGGTCTCTGAAAAAGTCAATTTTATATCAAATGTAAGAATTATTTTCTTAGAAACATGATTCTATATAAGACACATCTCTACTTCTAACAAGTAAAAAATGGATAAAAAATATCATGTCAAACTCCGGAAAGATGGCAAATAAAAATCAATCATAAAAACTGAAAATTAATTGTTCTTATTTTTCAAAGTGACAGCTTAGAACAGAGGATCTCAAACTTTTTTGAGTTGTGACTCACTGTAAAATGTGAATTTTTCTGGTGCACTTTATGTACAAAATTACAAGGTTTGTTTAGAAAGTTCTTAGAATCACAGGTGATGGTGTTTCTTGCCAGTGGAAGAAAAGGGAGTGGTCCTTCTGAATGGTGTACATTGGTTACCACTTCCGAGTACTGTATACCTGAGACTAAACAACAACATAAAGAAGGGAAACTTGCTTCTTCAACGACTTTGAAGAAGGCAAAAGTAGGGCCCTCAGCAAAGAAATACATGGCTTCCATTTTTTTGAATGCCAAAGTCATTATTCTCATTGACTACTTGGAAAAGAGTAAGACAACCATTGCTGCTTAGCACTGTGACCTGTTAGACAAATTGAAGACTGCCATTGCAGAGAAAAGGCACCACATGAAGATGATATACCTATTGTTTACAGATACAGTAGAGCATCGTTTATCCGAAAGAATGCCAATCGGCCTAAAGTATAATTTTTTATATTTTTCAATGTATTTATTTCATTTGTAAAACATAAAGAAATCATTTTTAACAATACAATAGCCACGATTATTATTTTAAAAAGTTTACGTTAGACTTAACATTGACGAAAATTCAACGCGAAGCGACACACAAGAGAGAAAAATTTCAACACGGGATAGGTTAATATATTTTTTCGCATATAATCGGTTATCCGAAAAATAAGTTTTCCGAACAACCCCAGTCTCCAATTGATTCGGATAAACAACGCTCTACTGTATACCACAATACGTTGAATTTGTCCATTGTTATCTAGTATACTCTATAAAGCCATGTTCTTGAAGATAGTCTTACTAAAAGACCCAAAAGGACATACTGTTGCACAAGTGCATCGAGGACAAATTAGTGTTGAATTTGAACAAATTCCAATTGGTGGGAGAAGAACATGCCAAACATTATTAGACAATTTCAAATTATTGCCTACATTACAGATCACATCAGATTACCAAACATTCTAAATTAATAAATTTCTACTGCATTTTTCAACTACTTTTCTGCAAATATTTGTGTTTGAAACACAAAATTTTTGTTTTATTTCTGTTTTATTACTTTAATTCAGTAATCACCATCAAGTGGAAAATAGATATCATATACTGAGCAGTACAAGACAAATCACAGCATTGGATAGTTGCTATAACAAGTTTGATGATTAAGACTAATGAATTAAGTTATTCAGAATCTGTTTTGAAATATAAAGAATTTTTAAATTACAACTTACCGATCCATAAGCGCATCCTCTAATAATGGCGTTACAGCGTATATGTAGTCTTTTCCCATTTCTCCAATATATTCAAACAAAAATGATAGAGATTTTAAAACACCATTCTGAACGTTCAATTCTGGAACACGATATTCATTCATCAAGGCAGGCAATACTGTAAAAGGTGAGCATGTTTCAGCAACTATAGCTATAGCAACGGTGGTACACACACGATTTTGACGTTCTTGCACCTATGATAAATAAATTGTTAAAATTTTAATTTTGAGAACTCAAATTAAAAAAAAAAAAATGAATCAAGGAAATAAATTTTACTCTTAAGTTATTCAATAGTGTCGCCAATACATCATGAGGACCTATGGCTTTGGCAATGTAACCAAATGTATTCACAGTAGCACGACGAATTGCTTTTTTGTGGGCTTTTAGTAATTCTAACAATTCAAAACATATTCTCATCCACTCTCTTGCAGAAACATATTCAGCACCTCTATCTGCAATTCTTCCGACTAAATCTATACAGTTTTCTTGTACCTTCTCGTGTCTAATTAAAAAAAATCATTTAATATGTTTTTAATGAGAAATAAAATTATTAAAAAAGAAAATATTAACCTGTTTTTCAAAATCGGAGTTAATCGTGGTAAGAGATCTTTAATAGGTGGTGTCATTTTGTGCATGCCAATTACATTTACAATGGATTTCAGAGCACCCAGAATGGATCCCAACACTTCTGGATATTCTTCACCTAAATATTCATAAAGTACAACACCCAAATGACCCATCAATTTTTCTTCTTGACAAGTTTTCATTACGACTGCTATACGAGAAATGAGATCGGCAGCCTGCTGTCTCACTTTTGCAGATTTGTTGTTGAGACGCCATAATATAGTACCGCAGATCTGGGGGAGATACGGTTTCACTCTTTTTCCCAGAGCATTCACGATTGTGCCAAAACCATTTAACATCACCATATCCTAAAAGAAAACACCAATAATACAGATCAAATATAAAAACAAAAAGAAACAAGAAATAAAGATCTTATATTCAAATGTAATAAGCTTACTTCTGTTGTTTGTTCTTGGAATGCGTACAAAATGCCATCAATAAGTTGTTCTTCTAGACGAGAATCTACGTCAGCTGCACCCAAATTGGCCATGATTTTTTCAATTGTTTCCATTACCATTTTTCGATACTGTTCATTTTCATCTTTCAAATCATCGACTATGCGATGTATAATTTCTGCAGCACCAACTTTATTGGCAATTTCAACTGTTGTATCCACCAACTAAAATTATACAACTTGGTTAATACCTATATCTACATTAATACTTTACATTTTTTAGATATTTAAATATTACCTGTCTATAATTTCTCCTATCAAGTGCCATTCTATGATTCCAAAAATGTTTAAAAAAGTGAGGTAGCACTTCTTCCTTTATATATTGTGGTTCCACACCATCAGTGGCACAACACTGTTTTACTACCTACAGAAAATTTAATTTATCCAATTTGTTAAATGTCAAGGACCATATTATTATAATTTTAAAAACCGAATTATATTTACCTTAAGTACAATCTTCTTCATTTCTTCGTCAGGAGACTGAAATTCTCGAATCAGAATCAACATCACTTCTCTGGTATAATAATTTGCATATTCAGCATCCATGAGTGGAATCAAATAACCAATAGCTTTCAAGAAAGCAGCCAAACCCTAAAATAAAAGTATAATTTTTGATTAAAATTTCTTCTAAACACTACTTTTTGTAAATAAATATGCAATTATTACCTTTCCTCGGTGAGTTCTAATACCTTTCCAGAGAGGTTTGAGCACACTGTCAAAAGATTCGATACCGTAAGGAGTTGCGGCTTCTGCAAGTGCAGCCAAAGCCAAAGCAGTAATTGTTCGAACTTTCTGCTGTTCATCTACTAATCCTGTAAAAAGATGTATAAAGGTGAAGTATTTAGTAAATAAAAATTGTTACATGAAACAGCATGTTAACAGCAAAATTTTCTTAATTTTTCAGCAAACAGTAATGTGATAGCTGGGTTGTATTTGATAGGGATTCAAACAATCCTATTCCACAATAATTCCCACAATTTTGTAAACATTAACTGTCAACTGTAAAGTATACCACATCAAAAGAAGATAAAATAAACACATCAAAAGTAAAACGACTTGCATGAATTCTAACATCAAGTACTGACCATAATTCCAATTTTACTAGTTTAACATGGTCATATCTTCAAAAATCAAACAATAATTAATTCTTTATTGATAAACAACAAGCAAGTTCAATTAAGAAACTATAGACTGATAAAAGCAATGGTTATTTAGATCTTAAATAAGTAGGGCTGATATTCTCTAGCATCCCAAAATTATGGCCATATGTAAAACAAATATTTGGAACATTCTACAACATCTAATTGCAACTGGGGCAATTGTAATATAATAGATGATTTAATCTTCTATTACATTGCATTCCCAACACTTAGCAAAATCATTTTCTTCAGTCCAACACTTATAATCTAAATAGAAATGTTATATAAAATAAATTTTCTAATTCAGATAAACAGCACTTCCTTACCATGTTCTATGATTTCTACTAAATTTCTTAAATGAGGTAAAATAGCACATCCCATCAAAATGGCTATCTGTTGAACAATTTTTATACCCGTGTGCCTTGCCTGCCAAGACTTCTTGCTGCGACACACAGCCTTCAAAAAAGGTAAGAGAGAGGGAATTCCAAGAGCAGAGGCGACGACAGCAAAAGCTCTGGCAGTAGTGTTTCTGACGTATTCGTCAATGTTGTCGATATCGGGTCTCATTGTTGATATCATCGTGGCCAAACCTGCTGCCTAAAAGTTTTAAACAACATATTATAATAAACATCAATTAAATATCAAGATCACACTACATACAAATTTTAAACTAAAAATTAAACTACAGTCAAACTCGGTTATAATAAGCATTAGGGGACCGACAAGATTTCGTCATTATATCTATGATAAGCAGTGACATAACTATGGGGAATTTGAGTGACTGCTTTGGGGCCAAACACATGGGGTGCCTTGCAGGTGGCAAAATTTGTAGCCATGCCACTGATGATTAATGAAATTTATCTTTTAACTTTTAATTCTAAAGAATTTACTTTAAAAAAAAGTGATTAATATTAAAAAACTTAGTGACATGAAGAAAAACAAAAACTCGACACTGGCCAGTCTGTCAGGTGTGAATTTGCAATTAACTACTGGCATTCAGTGGTCTACTTGGCCATTGATGGGCACATAAAATGAGTGGAAATTATTCTAAACTTCAAAGTAAAATGTCATATTTCTGTTATTCAACTAATTATTATGTTTAACTTTATTAAACTATTTATAAAAAAAAAAAAAACTTACTTTTGCTAAATTAGAAATAATTTCTCTGCCTTCCACACGAGCATAGTAATCCTCGTCAATCAATAAAGGCTCAATGACTACTAATATCTGTAATAAAAGACATTAATTTACATTTACATTTAACTACAGAAATAATTTAAATACTTAAATTAATAATTCGATTACTTACTTTATGTACATAAGGTCGAACGAGATCATCCAACTTGTATAAAATTCTGTCAATAACTTTCACCAATAAGTGACGTTCTTGATCCTCCAAAGTAGGAGACATCAATAAAGGTAAAATCTGGTTAAACAGAGGACCGGCACCAAATTCGCGCGACTTGTCCGTAATCTGTCGCAGAGCGGCCTTTCTCATTGGCGGTGTTCCATTTTTTATTTTCAACAGCAATTTCATTATTTTCCTTTCTTTCTGCTCATCAGGACTCAAGGCTTCTTCGTCAACGTCGGCCTACAAAATAATTTACATGTTTCAATTACTGTGAAATTTCAGTGCAATAAAATATTTTATAAAAAATTTCAAACCAACTCACATGATCCAAAAGTCAGTTAACCAAAACACCTTAAAACTATCTTACAACAAATCAAAACTGATTTTAGAGCTGAAGTTTATTATTTAAGACTCAGTCAATCCATTGAAAGGAAATGGATTGCAAATACTAATATTTATCAGTTTTCAAAATACTTTTAACTACTCTTAATACATTAGTTAACTAACTTTTGGACCACCCAGTACAAAATGCAAATTATATACATAATCTGTACTTAAAACATTAACTCTCAATTATTTAAAATATTTAAAGACCCATATTAATGTTTTAAATATGGTTTATATTGAAATGGATACAGTATTGGATACTTTTCTACGAGGCGTATCTGGAAAGTAAGTACCGTTTCGTTCTACCGCCATTGCAGTGGTAGTATCGCAGTTCAGCGCACACGTCTCTCTGGTTGATTGTCAGTCCAGTGACGCCATTGCAAACGGATTGTGTTGTTTTTCCACGTGTTAGTGAGCGTTCAAAATGTTTAAGACTATTGCCAATCCTGCTGACTGTGAAGTGCATCCTGTAATACGGTTTTTGAACGCAAAGAAAACATGTTAAGCCAGTTGAAATTCATCGTCAACTTGTAGAGATTTATGGTGAAAATGTAATGAGTGATGGAATGGTTAGAAAGCTGGTTCGACAATTCAATGCTGAACACACTGATGTTCATGACAAAGCTTGGAGTGGCTGGCCTTCTGTTGTCAATGATGGTTTAGTTGCAAAAGTGAATGAAAAAATTCCTGAAAACAGACGGTTCACAATAAGATTGCTTTGTGATGAGTTTCCACAAATTTCAAATACTGTTTTGCATGAGATTGTTGCAACAACCATGTTCAGCAGTGGCTCTCTTCGCTGGTGGCATCTTTCTTTGAAGAGGGTATAGACAAGCTGGTTTCCCGATATGACAAATGTCTGAACAATAGTGGTAACTATGTAGAAAAATAGTTTCAGACACGCTCTATCATATAAAAATAAATTTTGTTTTGAAAAAATATTTTTTATGTGAGTTTTTCCAAAATGGTACTTACTTTCCGGACATGCCTTGTAATTATTAATACATAATTTAATTGTTTTGATAAATATCTTACCAATAATTTATCAAAATATTGAATATCTTCTGGTTTTAATGGAGGTAAATTTCCTTTTGGTTGTGTATCTACAACTTTAACAGGTTCATCTTTCTGAAAGAAGAATCCAGAAGTGCCTCCCAGAGGAGTAGGTGTTGCAGTCAATTTACGAGCAGGTGTTCTAATAGGAATATAACCTGCTGGAGGTTGAAGTATTTTATAACCCGGAGGAAACATAGAATCCAATTCGTCGTCAGAAAGAGGTCTGTTTCTCTCATCGATCTCTCTTTCCCACCGATAAGCCTGCAACTGTTCTGGAGTCATTGCCATTATATGACCTAAAATTTATATGTAATTAAAAAATTTGTAAGTATTTAAAAAGTAAAGCATATATTTTTGTAATACAAGAATTTTACCTGGAGTTGGGGTGGCCATGGCCATAGCTTTAGGTCCGGTTGGAGTAACTCCACTGGGAGTCATCATAGAGGGTGTCTGCGGGGTTTGATTTCCCATCTGTGAGGCAGGAGTTTCGTCCCATCGAGAACGCCGTTTACTAGTACTGGGAGTGGGAGTCTCTTGAATCAAATCTGTGCCTCTGTCCGTGCGAGGAGTTTCTGCCCAACCACTTCCATGACCAGGTGTTTCTGTTTATCATAAAATTTTGTAAATTATAATATTTTATAATCAAAGTATTGATTTCAAATAAAAATTCAAGTTATAAAAACAATACCTCTGTCTGTTTTAGGTGTTTCGTCCCATCTGTTTCTTCTTGCACTCGGAGTGGCACGATGACCGGGAGTATCGTGTCCAGGGGTGGCTGCACCAGGTGTCGCATGTGCTGGAGTGGCATCCCAGATACGTGTGCTGGCTCCTGGTGTTGCACCGGGAGTTTCTGAACCCTTAGGTATACGACCGGGAGTTTCGTCCCAACGACTCTGAGAGGGAGTCTGTGACTGAAATTAATTAAAATTAATAATTTGCAAAATTTTGCGATTAAAACATATTCCAGTTACAGTTAAACCAAACTGTATAGGACATGACGCAATTGTTTATGTGACGAATTGATAGAGCGCTCACACGTAGTCTCTTTAAACATGCATTTCGTTAGTATAACTACGTTAAACTATTTTATGGAGGAAGAACCAATTTAAATAAATATCCCGCATCAAATAAGCGTAATAAGTATAACGTTCATAATCTTTTAAAACTTAAATGAAAAAAAATGAAGTCGATGAGCGCTCCTAGCGTCGAGGTAGAGTACCAGAGAAAGTTTCGGTTTTATTTTCGGGAGGTGTTGCAACTTTTTGTCATTCGGTTTGCTTCGTCGTTATTTTCCATCGTCGCCGATACTCGAAAGCATTAAAATGTTGTCTCCAGACGAACTCGCTTGCGTCTACAGTGCCCTCATTTTGCAAGATGACGACATCGCTATTACGGTATGGAATTATGGGTATATTTTGATTTGAATTCGAAAAATGACCTATTCTTGGCCCTTTGCCAATATTTTAAATTTTCACTTTCTGTTTATAACTAATGCTGGATTATGTCCAAGTCTAGCCACTTTGTGTAGTAACAGGTTATTTCTAATGATTAAAATGCCTCAATAAGCTTATTAAAGCGTTTTATAACTATTCTGAGAAAAATTAAACGTTCAAAGTTAATTTACATAAAACTTTATATAAATAATTATATAACTCCTTCTCATTTATTAGAAATGACTTTTTACTGTGTAATTTACTCGTAATTGGGAAATTTCCGCAAAATTTTACTTTCGGGTCATAGGGGGATCCTCCGGGATTGTCGACCCCTATACTGCCGGAAAAGTAGAAAGGACCACGATCCTAAATGGAATCCGTCACAAGATTTGACCACCTGAAATTTTCTTCGTGTAGTGTTGAATAACATCTGCAAACATTAATGAAAACTGGGAGTGGCATCTTTTAACTGTTTAAAATTAGCGTTTGGCCCGCCGGTGACCGTTCCCTAGACGCTGGGGGGTTCGGTCGTGGGTTTGTGCCGGGACGGGCCGGCGAGTGGAGTTTTACGGGTTTTCTCCGCGTCTGTAATTTCCTAATGTGGTCCGGATGTTATTTTTACTAAAAGAAAATGAAAGCTTTAAGATGTTTTTAGTAATAAAGAAACATTTTGGAAAGTAAAGAAATATGTAGAATATTTTATTTTTTCAAAAAAAATAAGAAATGGTAAAAGGGACTTGCTGTACTCCAGGCCCGGGTGGACAACTTTGCTTTCAAACAGCTTTCTTTCTTCAAACTGAGCATTGAAAAGCTGGTTAAATGCTGGTTCTGGTTGATAACTAACATTAACAATGAGGAATACTATTTTGATTAATTTTTTGTATTATCTTTAAGTAAAATCACTTTTTCTGTATCTAATTGTCAGTGATGACTTTTCAATATTCCCGATACAAAAACAGATTGCTATAGTATGTGTGTGTTGAAAATGTCTTGGTGCAGTTGGAAAGTTTAAGTGCGTTTTGTCTTAATACAATAATTTCAAAGTAGTGTATCTGAATATAAGGCATTGATGCAGTGCTGCAACATGCCTTATATTCAGAGACACTATTTTGACTGACTCTTTTTATAAGGACTTGGACGTCATTTTGCCACATGATTTGCAAAGATCTAATTTTTAATTTTCATTTTGTTTGGAAAATTTACATATTACTGTGGAACTCCTCATGATTTACATATTTCTCTTTTCATTAAAATTTATTTTAATGCAAACATTTCGGTGAATGTAATGTGTCAAAGGCTGCGTGTACTGCATAGCCTTTGGTGCATTAGCCTGCACGATGAGCATCCTTTTCTGGATGTGGGTTGCGAGTGAACTTTGTAGGCTTTAGTAGACTGCAAGCATTTTTCTTAGAGTTCAGATTTTAAGCCTGCTGAGTACAAATATACTTTGTAACTGCAGCACTAAAATAATATATGCTAATGTCTACTATAGGTCTAAGTTGTTGCCCTTGTTTANTTCTGCTCCAATATATATCTAAAAATTAATACTGGATATTTTGCATAACCATTCTCTTTCAGACAATTTCTATTTATTTATATGAGAACTTCTACTTAACTTTGATGCATAACACTATGCTGCATTGTATTGTATGATCATGATAAATGCTTTTTATGAATTAAAAGCATACAGATTTTGGATTTGTACATAATTAAAATATTAATAGTGTAGAACCTAGTACCATATTTCTTTGATTCTATCATCAATTCTAAGATACACTACCAATTTAAAGATCTTAATTTATAAACATTCCAAATTTTATTTGAATTCAAACCTGTAATATTACCAATGCATGTAACTGACATGATAATGAACAAACGAGTACTATAAATTTATGTGCATGTAATTGTGCCAAAATTTGCACTTCCACACTGTCAGACTGGAAAGTTTCTTTTGACATTGTGTGTGATACATTCCAAACTTAGAGATATTAAAATGTAAAAACATATGTGATTTAGAATCAAGGAAATATAGCATTTAAAAGATAATTTTAAGTGTTCTTATAATCTTTTATTGACATAATAATTCTGTGAACTTACTTCAGCCATATCCCAACTGGAAGCTTTCTTCTTAGCTGGAGTAGCAGGTGTTTCATCACCAGTAGCTTGATCCCATCTCCTTCGTTTACCTGAAACAAACATGTCGCTATGTTAAAAAGAATAAATTAATTTAAAAAAAAAATACCTAACAACTGCATGATGGCTTACTAGTAGCTGAGTAAAAAGCATGCACACATTTTAAATGCTTTCATTATTGAAAATTAAATAATTTTACTCACTTGGTTTCGAAGCATCTCCATTTGCCACAGTTTTCAAATCCCCAGATTTAGCTTTTTCAGCCAATTTTTTTCTCAATTCAACCTGTAAAACAAAAACATTTCAATTAAACTTCGCTATTAAAACACAAGTTTCTTACTTTTTATGTTAAGAAATTAAACACTTACCTGATCTTTACTCAAAGCTTGCTCTCTCATAATAACCTGATATGTTCTAGACTGAGCATCTGGAGTCTTTCCACCTATAAAGAAAATGGAAAAAGACAAAAAATATTATTGATTGATTTAAATAAACTATTCGTTCATTTGCCAGCAAACTAATGTAACTGGAGCAAAAACGGTATGCATTTAACACTAGTTTAATGTTCCTGACTGAACAAAGTATTCTGTTACATTGGTTTGCCGAACAAGCTCATGGATTAAATTACTAATATAACTGATGGGAAAAGCCCCTGTTTACGACTTCACTTTGCAGACAGTTGCATACTTATCCTGCAGAAAATAGGTTTTCACTTGATATTTCTTCCTAAGTTTATGAATTTTGCAGTTTCTTCATGCTTGAGCACAATTTAAGTGAAGCCTTTTTATGAAGTTACATATGAGCATAACAATAAAACAACAGAATGAAAACAAAATAAAAAGCTTTCGATGGGCGCAAAAGTCATTTGCACCCATGTATTTTTGTCGTTATTAAAAACAGCAATTTATTAAAAAAAAATACAATATTTTCTCAATCACACCAATACAATTAGTGTTAATTTTGAAAATAAAACTATTGAATTTTTGCATCGAAACTCAATTAGTTCAGGGACTTTCCCAACATTTACATACTACTATAATACGTACGTGTACTCTCCAATCTCCTTTTTCTCTAACCATCAGGATTGAGGTCAAGCGCAACGGTGAGCCTAAAAATAGTCTTTTTGTGATTAGTAATGTCTGTTGAGCACACACACACACACCATACACACTAAACTTCCTCGAGTGACTTTTCCCAATGACTTTCCAATTACTTGTAAAGCGAGTCATATACCTTTGGTTCTTATTTCGACAAGGGCTCTTGCACCGCTCAGTTTGTTCTCACAGTAATGAAAAATATAAACATTAACTTAAACAATTCTTTAGTTATAAAACTTTAAGTATATAAATATATATATATATTTAAAAAAAAACATTATAACACATTAAATTTTCGAATGGATTGCAAGCGGCCCTTGTCGCTAGAAATTTGTCTGATGACGACAGTGAAGGATATTATTTCTCGACACTTTTCTCAATTAAAGAATAATGATGAAGGTTTCTTTAAGTGATCTGAAAAGACATTTTTCATCAATAAACTCCATGCAGTTCTCATTAACATGCTACATTAAATAGAGAATTATTTCAGTCTGCGATTAACTACGTAGTTCGCGATAAAATAAGTTTATTTAGCCCCCGTCGTCAGCAGGTGTTCAGAGTTCTTTATCCTAATGCACGTATTACTTCTGCAATCCAATTCTACTTTACACCATTTAATTGTCTTTAAAAGCGTCACAAAACAATTATTTTCATAAATTACTAACACACTCAATTTACTAAATATTGGCATTACGTGCATTTATATATCCCCAGAGGGTACTGTAGACCATTTTCCTGCACGAGTAAGGGACAAACCGTGTCACGTCGTTGATGGAATTTCATAAAGGTGCTCCCAAGCTTGAGGAGAAAAATTGAACGACATTAATTAGTTATTATCGTTTATGTAGTTTTCTTTTCTAGTTACTGTAATTTACTCAAAATAAGTGTTTTGGGGAATTATTTATTTACCAATCAAGGCAAGAACAAAACTAAATCAACTTTATTCATTTTGGGAGAGACAGTAAGAATTTCGTAAGTAGTAATCTAATTTTTAAATATTTGTTTTGAAAATTTTGATTTCGCTCACAAAAACAGTTCGTAAAACCTAATAAGAGTAAGTTCCAAAGAAATAGAGAAATATAATTTATTGTCAATGATCTGCTCTTAACCAAAATACACATAGTAGGTCCCCACCATACACAGTTTGTCACATACTCTTTTGGGTTTATGGTACTGGGAATTTGGAAGAGAAATAAAATAAAAATTCTTAATTGCAAACTAAATCTGCACCATTTTTTAAGGTACACAAAGTCTTGCAGCATCTCACTTAGTTGTTAATGTGCATGAGTTGTGCACATTCTCATTCTAAGAAAGCATTCCTGTGATTTATTTCTTTGTTTTGCATTAGACGATTAAATTTGCAATAGTCTTTAACAGGAGTTCTTGCTTGTAACACGTCTGTGTGATATTGTTGGTAATTCTTTGTTTCATTTATGCTAATCATTTTGCAAACAAGATTCTAAAACATAAGGGTAGTGATGCTAGTAACACTGAAAAGCCAAATAAAAGCTGCAAAGTGCCGACTTTAGAAAAAATATTTAAAATTTTAGTTTTATGGTACCATGCTACTTATTGTTTATGTAATGTTTACTTACATCATTTATTTCAAATAAAACATGTAACAACTATGTTAGTATAGAAAATACTTAATAATTAATGGAATTTACCATTTTATACAAATTTCCTCTTACACAAAGTCTTAGAACATTTAATCATATATGGCAGGATCCTACTATATATATTTTGGTTTGCCCATACAATATCTAAAGAGGAGAACATTGCCTTGGTGATGCAATGAAACAATACAGAAACAAATATCATACCTGAATGACTACAACATATCATTTGACACATTGCCATTAGTTTTGTCTGTTTGTTTTGTTAAGTTATGGCACTGCAACACTTGGGCAATTTGCCTAGAAGGATGCTTTCTGGGAGGTCATTTTATGGGTAACTGGCCCCTATTCAGACATTACAGACGTGGAGAAAACCCAGAAAACTCCAAATGGCCAGCCCGTACTGGCGAGGTGCAAACCCACAACTGAACTCCCAATGTTCAGGGAACAAAACTGCTTGGCCATTGGTGGGCCAACACCTTGCCCTTGGTCTCAATGCACTTTATGTAGTGGAGTTTGTCTCTGTCCCATTAAAACAAGATTGAATCTTTGGTCTTCTAATGTGTTTTCTTTTCTTGTTTCAGATGGGGAAGAAGTGGTAATCCAAAGAGCTAAGGCAGGAAATCAGGAGGAATATTAGGTCAGTTCAAAACCTCAGTTTGCTCAATGTTTTCTGCACAGTGTGAGCCAACTCCATTTCATCAAATTAGACATCCCTTACCATCATTTAGTCTTTGCAACTTTGCCCATGCAAAATAACCTACCACTCATTTTTGGTAAAGGTACCATCAAACATTTATTCTATGCCATCATGTTGTCCATGTCCACTAAATATACTATTAAGTAAGTTGGGTTGAGAATTTAGCCTGTCTTCATAATCTGGGTATCAGAAGCAGCCAGGCAGAAGATTGTCAATTTATGGAACTATTCAACTGAAAGTATTCAATAAAAATACCTAAGAACAGAAGGGATTGACCAGAAAAATGACGATAAAAAGCCTTTTTATCAACTATTTAGCCATACAATTCTAATAAGATTTTCCATGACGATTCATAATAATAAAACAAGGTGATAAAACATATCTTTCTCTCCTTTAAATTGAAGATTTGACACTCCTTCACAAACATTACTAGCAGAAGAGCTCTCCAAGCTTGAATACTGAATGGATTTTCACTCTAAATAATTATAAGCAAAGACAAATAAATCAAAATCTGAATGTTATCCACTTAATCATCCTAAATAATTTAATGCAATTATAACAGAAATTTATTGTTGTCCTTAATGTAACCAAGTATTTATCCTCATCAAATCACTTTTTCCAATCTTCCAAATCTTAAATTGGGGATTTTCTGTTTTTGCTGCTCAAGTGTTAAGAAAGAGGCAGAGCATTCTGAAAGCTAAAAAACTAATCAAGTATTTAGAATGAATAACTTCAATTAATGTTTGTCTTTTTATTTGATTGGCTGTAGTTTCAGTACACACTTTTGTTGTTCATTCCTTAAAACAGACAGTTAAGTAAATGTTACTTCCATTAGTTTAGAAATTCAAATCTTTGCACAGAATTATATATTATTCCTGTAAAATTTTTGACCTACACAGTCTTCTATCATCATGCCAATAAAGTTTCCAGTTTTCTGCTGTCAAATCAGTTTGGTGAAACCACTCCATCTTGTTTGATACTTCACAATCCATCTTTTGTCTTTCAGCCACTCCTCTCTCTATGTATCTTTTCTCCATAAATTTTAAATATTTTGGCAGAATATCTTTTGATATATCCACAAAAAACATAAAATTATGAGAAAGGTTTTATAATAAAAGTTTTCTTCCTTTCTAGAAGTGCAATATTGCAAAATTTAAAAACATGAGTAGGGCAGAAATCTGGATTACCATCAAAATCTTAAATTATCTATTTAGATTTTAAATTAAAACCATTTGATTTCAAAAAAACAATAAGAAATATTTAAGGTTTTACATGCTTTTTGAGACATACTACAGTACACTTATTCTTTAGCGATTTCTGTTGATTAGAATATATCTTTGCAAGAATATTTATCTACAATCAACTGATTAATAGCTAAAATTGTAATTGCCTGTCTTCATCTTATATGAGAAAATTTCTGGAATTCTTAAACCAACCCAGACTAAACTAATAAATTCATAAGTCTTGCAAATAAAGTTTGAGCTTTCATTATTATTAATAGCATTAAAACATTAATATCGCTGCGATAATTTTATTAAATCTGGAATAACAATTACAATTCATAATTACATCTGTTAAATCACATTTTGCTCTTATTTGACAACAAATTTTGCATACTTATATCATCATTTTCTGTTGTAAATGTATATATTTTATGCAACTTTTACAGAATTATATAGTATTTGAGTCGATGACAGTGATCATTTTTTTTGCTTAACTGAAATTACTTGAAAATGCCACAAATTTCAGTTATGTTATTATAATAATGACAATATGAAAACTCATCTGTCACAATTAAACTATTTTGCATAATTATAATTTCATAAGAAATGAAGTGTGATGGATTTAGCTAAATTTTGTCTGATGTTTTTTGAAATACAATAAATAAATGTTCCCTCGTGTTCTTCAATCATTTTATAATGTTGAACTCAGGAAAGAATAGTAAATTCACAAAATATGAAAACTTATAAAACAATGCAATCTGCTGAGGGAAAGCCTCCTGGGAGGACCTTCCGTAGGAAACTGATCCCTATTTAGGTGTTATACGAATGGAGGAAATTCAAAAAAAATTCATGTGATTGCCCACTGATGAAGCAAAAACTATTACTGACTATAGCCATTTGGAGGTTTTATCTGGTTTTTTTTTTCACTGTTTGTAGATTACATGGTATGGTCGCCTGTTGCAGATGTCACAACTGATGCATGTCCTTCCAAAAATTTTTTATCCACACTTTAACCTAGGCAAGACAGAGTGTTTGGACTATATACCTATTGCATTCGCTGATTAATTGCAGTGGGTTCACAACCTTTGGCAACTAGGAACCCAATTACACCAATTGCTCATCTTTGGACACTTTCCATTTTTCCACAACAATCATATGAATGAATATCCAAGGCTATGGATATTTGTCTTATAGTGTTGTAGCTTTGTGCACTGAGCATTTGCATGCAAATTTTCTGCAATTTCATCCATCACTTATTAACTGGTTATTTATATAAACCCTTATACATTGTTAAACTTTAATGTGAAGTGACAATGGCCAAATGCTTAAAATATTTCAATATATTCCAAAAATTCCTTAAAAAATGTCTTAAACTTTACTTTGATTTTAAAGTTAGTAGTAGTTTCCAAACTACCTTCACCCCTTAAATTGCAGGCTTATATATAACACAAATTGCACTCTACATTTGATACAAGTACACAATGGTCTTCTAGCTTTGTTTCCATCATTAGAAGAGAACAATCTTTAACACATTTAAATAAATAATTTTACAAATAAAACTCATCAACAACAATACAAATAATGGCAACCCTACACCAAAATAGTAAATCAGACTTATTTTAACAGCAACAACAATAAAAAGTAATTGCATAAATTACCTTCAAGATAAATAACAATGTATTATGGAATTCCTAACATAAAGACGATTAAGAATTATAATGAAGTAACAAATTAATAATAAGTTTATTCAAAATTAAAGATTAAATTTATGCTAAAATATAACTTCTTCTAATACAACGTATCTTCAAATTAAACAGATGCTTGCAACAAAATTCTACTTCACTGAAACAGAAAGAAATCAAAAGATCAAAGACTATAGTACTTCATAATGGAATTACAAAGACTAATAACTTACACATGCTGTAAGCAAATATTAATTTCAAAATTTCTTTGGAATTGTATCAGCTTTGGAATAAATTAACTGTTCAGAAAAATTTCCAATATTTTCAATTATATTCAGATATTTAATACTTTAACAGAATTACTTTGTTTAGAATTAAAATATAGTTAAAAAAACTGATAAATTTTGTATAAATATGCAAAAAGAATTAATTTAAACCATCTTTATTTCGCACACAGCTTTGAATTCTACAGTATAATTGTTGTTGTCATAAAATCAACAATTTCTTCTTAATCAAGAAAATAATCGATGACAAGTCATCACATGTTACCGATAACATGCCGACTCTTTATACAGCGGCCAAATTTAGAAAACAATTCTCCAATATAGGTCTCTGAAGGTACACTCCGTAGTCGTAACAACGCAGTTTTGTCGTCGATAAGTAATTTTAAGAAAGTTTTTCAAAAACATTAAGCTACAGAAGAGGAAAGTTTTGTTCTTACCCATATTTTGGCTGAATGTATTATGATGAAAAAACTTAATAAAATTTTATAAATATATCAGTATATGAATTTAATTAATTTGTAAATTAAGTGCTGAGTGTCTACATAACGCTCTGGTTATTTCAAGACTTTCACTAAAACCCTTTTATTTAATAAATAACACCCACCTATCCCCAGACACACACAATATTACATTTTACATTCATTCGATTTCACCATCCATTCCAAGATTATCAGTAGAATGATGTCGACTATTCAAAAGTATTTGTTTCAGTGACATATGTTACTTGTTTAACAGTCAATATAAAGTAGCAGATAGTTAAAAGATACTAAGAAACGTTGTAAATATATTTACAGAGTTTTGTGTTTGACAATTATATATTTTAATGCAAGATATTTGCTTTCCTTTATGTAGTAACATTGTTAAATGTAACTATCTCAAAGTTCATAATTGTAATAGTGTAGATACTTTGTAATAATTTGTAGGATTCAATTATGAGATCAAACTATGTATGTACTTGCAAGTATGAATAGTAAAAACATTTAATTAATAAATATACCGATTATTTTAACTTTAATTCCATTTTCTTTATTGCCAATTATTGTCAAAATATGAATCTTTGAACAAAATTATCAATCTTAGTTATCAATTTAAACCATTACTTAAAAGGCATCAAACTACAAAGCTTTTTTACATGTATAACATTCTTCTTATTTAGATTTTATAGACAAATCAATCAAATATACAATTTTATTCTATGATTAAAATAAATTTAAAAAATTTTTTGCAATAATTTAGCTTTTACAACTTGCGAAACTTTAAAATAATTTTGATCTGCAATTCAAAAATTTTGAACCTACATTTAATTGCCATCTTTCTAGATTAGCTGTCATATCACTAAATGTTTATTTTAATATAATATTAGAGTATCTACTCAAGTCATCCTTTATCTTAAAATCATCCAGGAGGAATTAAAATTAATCATCATCAATGGAACTGAAACGTGGACATTGACAAGTTGCAAGCTACACAGAGGAAGAATAAATGGATTGTATCAAGAATTACTTGTAGATATCATAAATTAAAGGAAATGAACAAGGTCAAATGTAATCAATGTATTTGACATCAGCTGGACACATTGCACAGAGGAATAATAATAGGTGGATAAGTCTAACATCAAGGTAGATATCTAGAAATGGGCAAAGAAAGAGATAGTAGTCGTCATAGATGGGAAAATAAGATATGCATCAAGCTGGTATGCAATGGAAACATAGTGCAGATGACAAAAACAAATGGCAGAGTAAGAAGGCCTTTTGTTGAACGAGCAGACCAAATGCAGGCTATATAAGAATATAACATTCTTACAAATGGCTTTAATGCATTGACAAGAAACCTTCAAAACCAGCAAAAACTGTATTTACATGTGGCTCAAATGGCATAATGTTGTTTAAATCATAACCAATGGTAATTGTATCTGAAAGTTTTCTAAAAATCTGTAATTTAAACTTTGTGTCATGCTTTAATTTGCTACCAATAATTTGAAAGTTATTCTTGTTCTACACAGCCTGAAGCTCTATAAACTAACCAAAAACATTAGCTTAAGTAAACACAGTCATTGTTAGTTTTAAAGGTTTGTTTTGAATATGCATTCACAACTGTTGCTACATTAATAAATATATTCATTAACTAGTTTTCTACATAATCTTTCCAAAACTTATTTTCAAATTATAATAAAAAAGCAGTGAGAAATTTTCCAGAAATTGACTTCTTTACAACGAAAATTAAATTGATTAATAATTTACCTAACTTCCAGTTAATCGTGCATCTGATAATTTTGGAAAAAGTTGTATGACAGTAGAATAAATAATTCCGACAATTTAACTTTATCAAAAATGCAAAGAAAATTTAATACTTCCATTTAAATTTAAAGCTGGAATTTGTTAATAATTTTAATTTCAAATATCTTATTATGTATGTTGTGTAAAATGTTTATTTGACTACAATGAAAACACATGCTGCACATAAAAGTACTGGAATTTACAACTTAAGGAAAATGTAACCAAATAATTTAACGTATTCTGATTTCACGGACAACATTCTACTGATAATCTTTAAATTTTAAAGTAATTTTTAATATAATTGCATATGAATTTCAAAAATTCTAACCATTGACTTACCATCAGCAAAAGGATCAATTCTCTCGGGAGATATCATGAGCTTTCGGCGCTGGGCCCGATACTCGTCTTCTCTATCTGCAATTCTTGGAACTCTGCGTTCGGCAAACGGATCATAATCCTAAAATAAAATAGTTTTGTAAAATAGAAAATTCACAAAGATTATTTTAAAATGCTCATTTAGCTTTTATGCAAAATACGTTCATAAAAAATATATCTGAACATTTTCGGCTTTAAATCCCACCACCTTCACGATATACCCTACCATATTAGGAAGTGTTTTAACTTAGGTTGATTAATCATCCACATCGCACCTATTGAGTTGACTTCAAAGTTGTGTTATTTGTCTAAAATAAGAAGCAACACCTTCTGCATCAAAATTTAAAAATTTTTAATGGTTCACCAATTTAAAGATGACGTCTGCTAGTAAAAACTTGTAGCTTTTGGAGCGAGAATCGTGAAATGTCACTAAAATAAGAATTATTGTGTTCGACAATTGTGCTGGTGCTTAACTAACTTTACCAGACAATTACAAAAGAAAAAATTCCAGCAACGAGTTGCATAACTTTCTGGCTATTATGAGTTCTTATTTAGAAAATAACTTTTATAAATTTTAATTACAACATAACTTAATTAAATTGTGTGTGGTGCTATCTGTTATGAATTTTCTTATATGAAAGTTTTTATAGTTTGAATTACTATAAAACAGCAAAAAGCTTACTTTTGAGGGTAGGGAAAGTTTTATAAAAAAAAAAATATATATATAAATGTTAGTAATGAGTAAACTCATTATTAAGTCTAACCCTACTGGAAATACACAAGGCTTCCTTTATCTCTTCACCCCCCTTGACCTTTAACACCAAAATTTAATAGTATCAATGTCCCTCATATACAAGCCACCATGCCAAATTTCATTACTTAATCTTTACCCCACCCTGAGATATTAAGCAAAATCTTCATATCATGACAATGTTGAACAAATATGTAATTTACATTAATCCAGTGTTTCCTGAACTTTTTTTTATTCTTGGCACTATTGCTAAATCCAGATTTTCCCAAGACACCGTATGTCAAATTCTAACAAACACAATTTGTGAAATAACCAATATTTTTTACATTTAGTAAAATTACAAAAATTTTATAACATTTCATGGTGCCCCTGTGAGGAAGCAACAACACACACTTTGGTAACTGCTGCATTAATCCATTATGAGACTATGTATCCTGAAAATGGCTGAATGTAAAGCTGAAATTGTTCACTTTTCTGTGTCATAATCCTGAGAAAAATCTAACATATGTAAAAGTGGTTTTCAGAACATGGATTAGGGATAAAGTTTTCAGCTATGATAACTCATCAAAATTTAATTAATAATCTAAAATGAAGAATAAAGTGTAAGCTTAAAAATACACCACCATAATAAAACTAAACTGAGAAAACCTATTGTGTACACTGGTAGTTCTCAAATGTTTTGGCTCATGGCACACTATAAAATGTGAAAAATTCTTTCGGTGTACAGTGTGTATAGAATTTAAATAATATATATTTTTTAATTGTAAATAGTTATGTACTATAATAATTGCTACCCTGTAAGTCTAACTAGCTATTAATTAATTGTATAGTTGTAATAAATCATTGCATAAATTGGTTTCTTTTCAATTTTAAAATATACTTCCATATTTTGGCACCCTGAGAATTACTGGTGTGCACTCTAAACTGCAATCAAATATTATACCACTTATTTGTTCTTTAAACTTAAAAACAGAAATAACTACAAAAACATTTAAAGGAGTTGACTTTTTTAATGTGATAAGTTGCTTTTCGGGATCATACTGTCCCATTGTCAGATCCATGTTAAACATTTGAAACAGATGATGGGACAATGATCCTGAAAAGCACTTTAACACATTATAGTTAAATGATTTTGTGGGTTATTTCTGTTTCAAGTTTATCACAACTGATAGTTTAAAAATATTCCTACTGAAATTAAAAGTTGCAAACCGACAATAAATACTTTGGCATTCAGTGTAAGCTGCATGAATAATTAAATGTTCAGTTTTATTATCAAAGCATTTGTATTTACTTGAAATCATGAACTGTTTATTCTCAACAAAAATAAATTAGAGATATCTGAAAATTCTACATTTACATAAACTTGAAAAAACATTCATAGACTAATAATTTTATTCAGTAAACCAAATTCATTGGTTCCTGGTTGTTTCTAATAACTTTGAATATGGTGTTAAGTGTAAATGTTTTTTCTGTATATCTTTTTACTACACTAGGAAAGAAAGAGAAAAATAAACAGTTAACTAATTAATTTAAAGATTTAAAACAGTTCCAAGTAAAATATAAATAAAAGAATAAGCAAATAATTAAACTACTTAGACTTAAATTCTTAATTACATAAAAATTGTATCGAATGGTGTAATATCAAATGCAGTGAGACTGCTTTCATTTTCTACATAAAATTATATATATAAGCCCTTAATTACTTTCAAGGTTAAATAAAAATTTATAACAATGCATACATACCTTATCTGTAGTAACAAGTTCATTTAAGAAAGATGTTGGAGCTGTATAGGTAGCACGTTTGTTTTGAACGAGAGTAGTTGCTTCATAATCATCATCCTGTAAACAAAACAATAATTATATATGAAGTTTTTCCAAAATTCAACAATTAATTCTTTGTAAATACTTAAATAATTAGTTAATTAAATAAATATCAAACACTTGATTTCTCTGGCAGATAAAATGTACACACAAACATGTTTTTCATACTTACATCTGCTTCAGCTTCGTCATTGGCTGCGATAGATGTTACATAATCCTCAAATTTAGTTTTACCACTCCCATAAATATCTTCATCCATGTATGAACCTGATGAAGCAACTAAAGGAACTCCTCCATCTCCATTTTCATGTCTGGTAGCTGTTATACCAGCTTTCATTGCTTGGATTTCACGAATTTGCTCCTCAATTCCTGGAAAAAATTAATATTTTTCTATTAAGTCATCTATTCAACAAAACTAATTTACACATTTAGATCAACTTTAATTCACAAATCTTCAAAGTAATGACATTATGAGAACAAGGTGGAATCAAAACAAAATATTTTAATTTGGGAAGGTGTTAGAAATGTGAAAGGGTCGAGAAGGGATGATGTCAGAGCCATAACAATTACCCGTGCAGACTTTGCAATGTGAGGGGCCAACAACTGGAAAATGTTTTTAAATTGATAATAAAGCATGTTTAATTAATTAATTTAATTAATACTGCATGTAACCAAGTAAGTACAGTAATTCTAGATTACTATTTAAATAATCAACTGCACCAGCATCAGTATGATCGATATTTTCCTGCAGTCTGATGAAATTTTTTTGAGGACTAGCAGTGGTCCATGAGCCAGCAGTTAAAAAACACTAATGTATAGCAATTCACAACATACACAAAAAAGACTGACCACCAACTCTCACTTTCTTTCCTAACACAACTAGAATGTCACTGTTGAGTGTCAAAGGTTACAGCAGGGATGGTGGTAACCCAACTTAGTAAACTGAAATAACAACACTATACAATTTTGACTGCAGCAGAACAAATAACAAACCACCCACATAAAACTTTTATGTATTAATACACAAATTCTGACACTAACATATATACTAAAATAGTTTAACACTGCTTTGGATAAAAGGCAATCAATCAACCAGTGAAGCAATTTTAAGTATAAAAACCAATACTAGAGAGATTTTTCAAATCAACAAAGGCTGAAAAACTTGATTTTGACAATGCACCAGAGCCAGATAAACATTAATGAAACAGTATAGAAGAAATCATTGAAAATTTGGAAAGAATGAGTACACCAATGGCTCATCATTTAGAAAATAAAAACAGTGAAAGTTCTACAGCAATAAATACATTTATATTCCGACGCAGCTGATATTATTGCTGAAAATACAAAGATACGGACCAACTAACTAGTACAATATGTTTATAATTGATATATTTGATAAATTTATTAGTGTTCTAGTTTAATAAGGTTATTTTATAAATAAAAGGGAAATTATGTTTGTGGCAGCATTGTATCGTGTGAGGCATTTGTAAGATTTTGTTCTGATAAGTAGTGATCTTAAATTTCATCTTTTCTCTCAACTTTTCTTCAGAAAACTTATCTTTGATTTTAAGTAAACACTTTATGATCTGTTCCATTGTATTTTATAGAAAAATTCATGAAAATATTTTATTGATTTTACCATTCAGGAAGGTGTGGATTTGTGTTCATCGTCAGGCTTTTGTCCTATTTCACATCTATGTTCCTGTTGTCAATATTTCTCAAATAATTGCTGATTTCAGCTTTCTTTCAACTTGGAAGGCCATCCCGTTTGTTTTCTCTTTCCATGCTGAACACCAAGTTTAACATAACTGGCTACAACACAATGAGGTCTCTTCAGCTGTTTTGCAACAGCTCTAGCAGAAGTTTAACATAACTGGCTACAACACAATGAGGTCTCTTCAGCTGTTTTGCAACAGCTCTAGCAGAACTTCCAGCCTGATAGTGTGCCTTGATTCAGCCACACTCAAAACGCAATTTAGGACTTATCTCTACCCATTGTTAAAATTAGTTATCATGATAATTAATGCTGTTATAAATGCAATTATGCCTCAATTTGCAATTACAAAGTGCTACTATCTCTTTATAAATATTAAATTATAGATGACAGTAAAGTTTTTTTTTTTTTTGATAAATCACTCAAAATTGCAACCGGCCTTTCATTTTTGCAACACCATTATGTTTGATATTTTGAATAAAAAATTTATATTTTCATTTTTATTTTTAATTGTAAATAGAATAAGTAATTGTTGTACATAACCATTAATTCTTGTCATTAATTTTTCGTTTAAGTGTAAAAAAAATTTATCATTCCAAAAAATTAGGGTGGCCTTATATTTTTGCAGCACACCTTATTTATCGCGTTACCTGCAAAAGAATTATTACATATTTTTACCCTTTCTTTGGAGAACATACTACACGCTGTCTTTGTAAACATCTATCTCTGCTCCTTGGATCTATGCCAAAAAGTTCTGACCTCTGAGGTGGCCAGGTATAGGCAAATCCATTCTTCTCACGGTGTAATGTCTTCAACTTCATCATATGTCTCGAACAATGTAACAATCAATTTCAATTTGAAAGAGAGTAATGTAAGATTTCCTCCTAATTTTTTGTGAATAATATGCACATTTTATATACAGATGTCCAAAAATCTAAGGTAAAGTTTCGTATATTTTTTTTACATGCATTCTAGCACTGTTTTGCTGTTGATAAATCCACGTTTGTCAGATGGTGTTTGTATTCAATATATACTTTTGGTTTCTGCTTTCATGTACTTTTTCTTGTTATGGTCATGATAAAAACATCTTTTCTGTCGTTCTACTTCATCAACATATCTTTGCCTTGATACATAACTACTGATGTCTCCCCTTTCAGTTTAGATGAAAAAATTTGTTCTAGAAGCTCCTTTGTTCTTTTCTTACTGTACCAATAACATCAGTTTTTCAGGATACTAGATAATCTAACAAATACACACTAAAATAATAACTGTCAATGCATAGACAGTATCCTTGATCAAGATAATCTTGCATTATAGAAAGCACAATAAATGACTCTTTCAAAGGATCCACATCAGTTAGATTTATAGGAATAATTTTTATTTTTGTCAGTGTGTGTTATAAAATTAAATACATAATCACTTTTTGGTTCAAAAGAAGAAAATATTTTATACCAGATTGGATCTTTGAGGAAATAAACATTTTCCACCACAACCTTCACATCCAAAACAAAAGATTTTTATTAATAAAAATATTACGTGAGGTCACATAAGCTGTTTGGAAACTGTTTCTATATAATGACGATAGCTCTTTAATTTTGTATAGCTTGTTGTTTGTATCAGTATTACTAGAAAAATGCAAAAATTTCATCAACAAAACAAATCAATCCCTCTTCATTCTCTAAAAACATTGGTGTTTGGGACAGGATTTCTAGAGAAATATGACTTATAGTTGGCTTCAATATAACTCCTCAAAAGAAAAATGACTTCCAGTAAACAAATCTCCTGTGAGGTTATATCTTTACAATCATAAAGATGACTCCTTTTTTATTTCAAAAGAAGTATTATTATCGGCAATTCATTTATTTGATTTCTCATTGCAAATAAATTTTATAATACTATCATTTAAAATACTAAACATTTTTAAAATGCCATTAGGATCACTGATTTAAATTTTAACCCCATCATTACCCATAGAATTGAATGGTTTTCTTACAGAATCACCAACTTTAGACCAATCTTTGTTCCTAAACATTACAGCTACCAGGATCTGAATCACTACTTGCATCTAAATCAGAACTGAAATTCATTTTCCATATCAGATAAACCATAAGAATCAGACAAATATCCAAGTTCCAAATCTATTTTGGATTGATTTAACTGCCATTTTGCCATGTTTTATTGGTTTTGACACACAAAGGAATGTTCAACTCACTTTGAATGAAAAATAAAAAACAAGAAATGAAATAGGACATTAGAATTTATTTCACAAGTCAGTCGAGAATTCATGCAGGACAGGAAAGCAATCAAAATTATTCTGTTCAACTGTAGAAATCCAAATTTTTAACTTCTTATCAAAATATGAAATTTTATCTCTTGTATTGATTAATTAAAATCCTCTGTTAGTTGCACAGGGTCACACTGATCCAGTCATTTTTTCTTTTCAATTTTTTTGGTACTTATTTTTCTTCCATCATGCGATTTTTTTATGATCAAAACTGCCAAAATTGTGGTGGTCCATGCAGTATTTGTTCAATCACTTCATTTCTCATGTAGGAAACATTCCTGTCTTAACAATCAGCAAAAAATGTTGATGTTTCCTTTAACCTCACCTGTGTTATTCCTGACATATATTGAGGTCGTGACCTTTGATCCACAGGTTTAAATCCAATATATCTTGTTACAATATCGATAAGTTTTTGATATTAGATGTCGTTATTCATCATAATTTTTATATGAAAACAAACTTTAATCTTTTAACAAACTCTNATATACCGATTATTTTAACTTTAATTCCATTTTCTTTATTGCCAATTATTGTCAAAATATGAATCTTTGAACAAAATTATCAATCTTAGTTATCAATTTAAACCATTACTTAAAAGGCATCAAACTACAAAGCTTTTTTTACATGTATAACATTCTTCTTATTTAGATTTTATAGACAAAATCAATCAAATATATAATTTTATTCTATAATTAAAATAAATTTTAAAAATTGTTTGCAATAATTTAGCTTTTTCAACTTGCAAAACTTTAAAATAATTTTGATCTGCAATTCAAAAATTTTGAACCTACATTTAATTGCCATCTTTCTAGATTAGCTGTCATATCACTAAATGTTTATTTTAATATAATATTAGAGTATCTACTCAAGTCATCCTTTATCTTAAAATCATCCAGGAGAAATTAAAAATAATCATCATCAATGGAACCGAAACATGGACATTTACAAGTTGCAAGCTACACAGAGGAAGAATAAATGTATTGTGTCAAGAATTACTTGTAGACATCATAAATTAAAGGAAATGAACAAGGTCAAATGTAATCAATGTATTTGACATCAGCTGGACACATTGCACAGAGGAATAATAATAGGTGGATAAGTCTAACATCAAGGTAGATATCTAGAAATGGGCAAAAAAAGAGATAGTAGTCGTCATAGATGGAAAAATAAGATATGCATCAAGCTGGTATGCAATGGAAACATAGTGCATATGACAAAAACAAATGGCAGAGTAAGAAGGCCTTTTGTTGAACGAGCAGACCAAACGCAGGCTATATAAGAATATAACATTCTTACAAATGGCTTTAATGCATTGACAAGATACCTTCAAAACCAGCAAAAACTGTATTTACATGTGGCTCAAATGGCATAATGTTGTTTAAATCATAACCAATGGTAATTGTATCTGAAAGTTTTCTAAAAATCTGTAATTTAAACTTTGTGTCATGCTTTAATTTGCTACCAATAATTTGAAAGTTATTCTTGTTCTACACAGCCTGAAGCTCTATAAACTGGCCAAAAACATTAGCTTAAGTAAACACAGTCATTGTTAGTTTTAAAGATTTGTTTTGAATATGCATTCACAACTGTTGCTACATTAATAAATATATTCATTAACTAGTTTTCTACATAATCTTTCCAAAAGTTATTTTCAAATTATAATAAAAAAGCAGTGAGAAATTTTCCAGAAATTGACTTCTTTACAACAAGAATTAAATTGATTAATAATTTACCTAAATTTCAGTTAATTGTGCATCTGATAATTTTGGACAAAGTTGTATGGCAGTAAAATAAATAATTCCGACAATTTAACTTTATCAAAAATGCAAATAAAATTTAATATTTCCATTTAAATTTAAAGTTGAAATTTGTTAATAATTTTAATTTCAAATATCTTATTATGTATGTTGTGTAAAATGTTTATTTGACTACAATGAAAACACATGCTGCACATAAAAGTACTGGAATTTACAACTTAAGGAAAATGTAACCAAATAATTTAACGTATTCTGATTTCACGGACAACATTCTACTGATAATCTTTAAATTTTAAAGTAATTTTTAATATAATTGCATATGAATTTCAAAAATTCTAACCATTGACTTACCATCAGCAAAAGGATCAATTCTCTCGGGAGATATCATGAGCTTTCGGCGCTGGGCCCGATACTCGTCTTCTCTATCTGCAATTCTTGGAACTCTGCGTTCGGCAAACGGATCATAATCCTAAAATAAAATAGTTTTGTAAAATAGAAAATTCACAAAGATTATTTTAAAATGCTCATTTAGCTTTTATGCAAAATACGTTCATAAAAAATATATCTGAATATTTTCGGCTTTAAATCCCACCACCTTCAAGATATACCCTACCATAGTAGCAAGTGTTTTAACTTAAGTTGATTAATCATCCACATCGCACCTATTGAGTTGACTTCAAACTTGTTTTATTTGTCTAAAATAAAAAGCAACTCTTTTTGTATCAAAATTTAAAAATTTTTAATGGTTCATCAATTTAAAGGTGATGTCTGCCGGTAAAAAACTTGTAGCTTTTGGAGCAAGAATCGTCAAATGGCACTAAAATAAGAATTATTGTGTTTGACAACTGTGCCAGTGCCTAACTTTACCAGACAATTACAAAAAAAAAAAAATTCCAGCAATGAGTTGCATAACTTTCTGGCTATTATGAGATCTTATTTAGAAAATAACTTTTATAAATTTTAATTACAACATAACTTAATTAAATTGTGTATGGTGCTATCTGTTATGAATTTTCTTATATGAAAGTTTTTGTAGTTTGAATTACTATAAAACAGCAAAAAGCTTACTTTTGAGGGTAGGGAAAGTTTTATAAAAAAAAAATATATATATAAATGTTAGTAATGAGTAAACTCATTATTAAGTCTAACCCTACTGGAAATACACAAGGCTTCCTTTATCTCCTCACCCCCCTTGACCTTTAACACCAAAATTTAATAGTATCAATGTCCCTCATATACAAGCCACCATGCCAAATTTCATTACTTAATCTTTACCCCACCCTGAGATATTAAGCAAAATCTTCATATCATGACAATGTTGAACAAATATGTAATTTACATTAATCCAGTGTTTCCTGAACTTTTTTTTATTCTTGGCACTATTGCTAAATCCAGATTTTCCCAAGACACCGTATGTCAAATTCTAACAAACACAATTTGTGAAATAACCAATATTTTTTACATTTAGTAAAATTACAAAAATTTTATAACATTTCATGGTGCCCCTGTGAGGAAGCAACAACACACACTTTGGTAACTGCTGCATTAATCCATTATGAGACTATGTATCCTGAAAATGGCTGAATGTAAAGCTGAAATTGTTCACTTTTCTGTGTCATAATCCTGAGAAAAATCTAACATATGTAAAAGTGGTTTTCAGAACATGGATTAGGGATAAAGTTTTCAGCTATGATAACTCATCAAAATTTAATTAATAATCTAAAATGAAGAATAAAGTGTAAGCTTAAAAATACACCACCATAATAAAACTAAACTGAGAAAACCTATTGTGTACACTGGTAGTTCTCAAATGTTTTGGCTCATGGCACACTATAAAATGTGAAAAATTCTTTCGGTGTACAGTGTGTATAGAATTTAAATAATATATATTTTTTAATTGTAAATAGTTATGTACTATAATAATTGCTACCCTGTAAGTCTAACTAGCTATTAATTAATTGTATAGTTGTAATAAATCATTGCATAAATTGGTTTCTTTTCAATTTTAAAATATACTTCCATATTTTGGCACCCTGAGAATTACTGGTGTGCACTCTAAACTGCAATCAAATATTATACCACTTATTTGTTCTTTAAACTTAAAAACAGAAATAACTACAAAAACATTTAAAGGAGTTGACTTTTTTAATGTGATAAGTTGCTTTTCGGGATCATACTGTCCCATTGTCAGATCCATGTTAAACATTTGAAACAGATGATGGGACAATGATCCTGAAAAGCACTTTAACACATTATAGTTAAATGATTTTGTGGGTTATTTCTGTTTCAAGTTTATCACAACTGATAGTTTAAAAATATTCCTACTGAAATTAAAAGTTGCAAACCGACAATAAATACTTTGGCATTCAGTGTAAGCTGCATGAATAATTAAATGTTCAGTTTTATTATCAAAGCATTTGTATTTACTTGAAATCATGAACTGTTTATTCTCAACAAAAATAAATTAGAGATATCTGAAAATTCTACATTTACATAAACTTGAAAAAACATTCATAGACTAATAATTTTATTCAGTAAACCAAATTCATTGGTTCCTGGTTGTTTCTAATAACTTTGAATATGGTGTTAAGTGTAAATGTTTTTTCTGTATATCTTTTTACTACACTAGGAAAGAAAGAGAAAAATAAACAGTTAACTAATTAATTTAAAGATTTAAAACAGTTCCAAGTAAAATATAAATAAAAGAATAAGCAAATAATTAAACTACTTAGACTTAAATTCTTAATTACATAAAAATTGTATCGAATGGTGTAATATCAAATGCAGTGAGACTGCTTTCATTTTCTACATAAAATTATATATATAAGCCCTTAATTACTTTCAAGGTTAAATAAAAATTTATAACAATGCATACATACCTTATCTGTAGTAACAAGTTCATTTAAGAAAGATGTTGGAGCTGTATAGGTAGCACGTTTGTTTTGAACGAGAGTAGTTGCTTCATAATCATCATCCTGTAAACAAAACAATAATTATATATGAAGTTTTTCCAAAATTCAACAATTAATTCTTTGTAAATACTTAAATAATTAGTTAATTAAATAAATATCAAACACTTGATTTCTCTGGCAGATAAAATGTACACACAAACATGTTTTTCATACTTACATCTGCTTCAGCTTCGTCATTGGCTGCGATAGATGTTACATAATCCTCAAATTTAGTTTTACCACTCCCATAAATATCTTCATCCATGTATGAACCTGATGAAGCAACTAAAGGAACTCCTCCATCTCCATTTTCATGTCTGGTAGCTGTTATACCAGCTTTCATTGCTTGGATTTCACGAATTTGCTCCTCAATTCCTGGAAAAAATTAATATTTTTCTATTAAGTCATCTATTCAACAAAACTAATTTACACATTTAGATCAACTTTAATTCACAAATCTTCAAAGTAATGACATTATGAGAACAAGGTGGAATCAAAACAAAATATTTTAATTTGGGAAGGTGTTAGAAATGTGAAAGGGTCGAGAAGGGATGATGTCAGAGCCATAACAATTACCCGTGCAGACTTTGCAATGTGAGGGGCCAACAACTGGAAAATGTTTTTAAATTGATAATAAAGCATGTTTAATTAATTAATTTAATTAATACTGCATGTAACCAAGTAAGTACAGTAATTCTAGATTACTATTTAAATAATCAACTGCACCAGCATCAGTATGATCGATATTTTCCTGCAGTCTGATAAAATTTTTTTTGAGGACTAAGCAGTGGTCCATGAGCCAGCAGTTAAAAAACACTAATGTAGAGCAATTCACAACATACACAAAAGACTGACCACCAACTCTCACCTTCTTTCCTAACACGACTAGAATGTCACTGTTGAGTGTCAAAGGTTACAGCAGGGAAGGTGGTAACCCAACTCAGTAAACTGAAATAACAACAGTATACAATTTTGACTGCAGTAGAACAAATAACAAACCACCCACATAAAACTTTCATGTACTAATATACAAATTCTGACACTAACATATATACTAAAATAGTTTAACACTGCTTTGGATAAAAGGCAATCAATCAACCAGTGAAGCAATTTTAAGTATAAAAACCAATACTAGAGAGATTTTTCAAATCAACAACGGCTGAAAAACTTGATTTTGACAATGCACCAGAGCCAGATAAACATTAATGAAACAGTATAGAAGAAATCATTGAAAATTTGGAAAGAGTGAGTACACCAATGGCTCATCATTTAGAAAATAAAAACAGTGAAAGTTCTACAGCAATAAATACATTTATATTCCGACGCAGTTGATATTACTGCTGAAAATACAAAGATATGGACTGACTAACTAGTATGTTTATAATTGATATATTTGATAAATTTATTAGTGTTCTAGTTTAATGAGGTTATTTTATAAATAAAAGGAAAATTATGTTTGTGGCAGCATTGTATCGTGTGAGGCATTTGTAAGATTTTGTTCCGATAAGCAGTGATCTTAAATTTCATCTTTTCTCTCAACTTTTCTTCAGAAAACTTATCTTTGATTTTAAGTAAACACTTTATGATCTGTTCCATTGTATTTTATAGAAAAATTCATGAAAATATTTTATTGATTTTACCATTCAGGAAGGTGTGGATTTGTGTTCATCATCAGGCTTTTGTCCTATTTCACATCTATGTTCCTGTTGTCAATATTTCTCAAATAATTGCTGATTTCAGCTTTCTTTCAACTTGGAAGGCCATCCCGTTTGTTTTCTCTTTCCATGCTGAACACCAAGTTTAACATAACTGGCTACAACACAATGAGGTCTCTTCAGCTGTTTTGCAACAGCTCTAGCAGAAGTTTAACATAACTGGCTACAACACAATGAGGTCTCTTCAGCTGTTTTGCAACAGCTCTAGCAGAACTTCCAGCCTGATAGTGTGCCTTGATTCAGCCACACTCAAAACGCAATTTAGGACTTATCTCTACCCATTGTTAAAATTAGTTATCATGATAATTAATGCTGTTATAAATGCAATTATGCCTCAATTTGCAATTACAAAGTGCTACTATCTCTTTATAAATATTAAATTATAGATGACAGTAAAGTTTTTTTTTTTTTTATAAATCACTCAAAATTGCAACTGGCCTTTCATTTTTGCAACACCATTATGTTTGATATTTTGAAT